ACACACCTCTCTCGCCACTGGACAGATCTTCCAAACAAAAGTTGAATAAGGAAACTATAGAACTCAATAACACTATTAATAACCTAGACCTAATTGACATATATAGAGTATACCACCCAACATCAAGCAATTACACTTTTTTCTCAGCAGCACATGGATCCTTCTCAAAAATAGATCATATATTATGTCACAGGGCAACTCTTAGACAATATAAAGGAGTAGAGATAATACCATGCATCTTATCTGATCATAATGGAATGAAACTGAAAATCAACGATAAAAGAAGGAAGGAAAAAGCATACATCAATTGGAGAATGAACAATAGGTTACTGAATGATCAATGGGTTATAGAAGACATCAAGGAGGAAATTAAAAAATTCTTAGAGATAAATGAAAACACAGACACAACATATCGGAATCTATGGGACACATTGAAAGCAGTTCTAAGAGGAAAATTCATTGCTTGGAGTTCATTCCTTAAAAAAAGAAAAAACCAACAAATAAATGATCTCATACTTCATCTCAAAATCCTTGAAAAAGAAGAGCAAAACAACAGCAAAAGAAGTAGAAGGCAAGAAATAATTAAAATCAGAGCTGAAATTAATGAAATCGAAACAAAAGAAACAATTGAAAAAATTGACAAAACTAAAAGTTGGTTCTTTGAAAAAATAAACAAAATCGACAGACCCTTAGCGATGCTAGCGAAGAGAAGAAGAGAGAGAACTCAAATTACTAGCATACGGGATGAAAAAGGCAATATCACAACAGACACTTCAGAAATACAGGAGATAATCAAAAACTATTTTGAATCCTTATACTCCAATAAATTAGAAGATAGTGAAGGCATAGATAAATTTCTTAAGTCATATGATCTGCCCAGATTGAGTCAGGAGGATATAGAAAACCTAAACAGACCAATATCAATTGAGGAAATAGAAGAAACCATAAAAAGACTACCAACTAAGAAAAGCCCAGGTCCGGATGGGTATACAGCAGAATTTTACAAAACCTTTAAAGAAGAACTAATACCAATACTTTTCAAGCTACTTCAGGAAATAGAAAAGGAGGGAGAACTTCCAAATTCATTCTACGAGGCCAACATCACCCTGATACCTAAACCAGACAAAGACACTTCAAAGAAAGAAAACTACAGACCAATATCTCTAATGAACCTAGATGCAAAAATCCTCAATAAAATTCTGGCGAATCGGATACAAAAACATATCAAAAAAATTGTACACCATGATCAAGTAGGATTCATCCCTGGGATGCAAGGCTGGTTCAATATACGGAAATCAATAAATGTTATTCACCACATCAATAGACTTAAAAATAAGAACCATATGATCATCTCGATAGATGCGGAAAAAGCATTCGACAAAGTACAGCATCCCTTTATGTTCAAAACTCTAGAAAAACTAGGGATAACAGGAACATACCTCAATATTGTAAAAGCAATCTATGCTAAGCCTCAGGCTAGCATCATTCTGAATGGAGAGAAACTGAAGGCATTCCCTCTAAAATCTGGAACAAGACAGGGATGCCCTCTCTCTCCACTTCTGTTCAACATAGTTCTCGAAACACTGGCCAGAGCAATTAGACAGACGAAAGAAATTAAAGGCATAAAAATAGGAAAAGAAGAAATTAAATTATCACTATTTGCAGATGATATGATTCTATATCTAGCAGACCCAAAAGGCTCTACAAAGAAACTATTAGAGCTAATAAATGAATTCAGCAAAGTGGCAGGATTTAAAATCAACACGCATAAATCAAAGGCATTCCTGTATATCAGCGACAAATCCTCTGAAATGGAAATGAGGACAACCACTCCATTCAAAATATCTTCAAAAAAAATAAAATACTTGGGAATCAACCTAACAAAAGAGGTGAAAGACTTATACAATGAAAACTACAGAACCCTAAAGAGAGAAATAGAAGAAGATCTTAGAAGATGGAAAATATACCCTGTTCATGGATAGGCAGAACTAACATCATCAAAATGGCGATATTACCAAAAGTTCTCTATAGGTTTAATGCAATGCCAATCAAAATCCCAACGGCATTTCTTGTAGAAATAGAGAAAGCAATCATGAAATTCATATGGAAAAATAAAAGACCCAGAATAGCAAAAACAATGCTAAGCAAGAAGTGTGAATCAGGCGGTATAGTGATACCAGACTTCAAACTATACTACAGAGCAATAGTAACAAAAACAGCATGGTACTGGTACCAAAACAGGCGGGTGGACCAATGGTACAGAATAGAGGACACAGAAACCAATCCACAAAACTACAACTATCTTATATTTGATAAAGGGGCTAAAAGCATGCAATGGAGGAAGGATAGCATCTTCAACAAATGGTGCTGGGAAAACTGGAAATCCATATGCAACAAAATGAAACTGAATCCCTTTCTCTCGCCATGCACAAAAGTGAATTCAAAATGGATCAAGGAGCTTGATATCAAATCAGAGACGTGCCGTCTGATAGAAGAAAAAGTTGGCTACGATCTACATTCGGTGGGGTCAGGCTCCAAATTCCTCAATAGGACACCCATAGCACAAAAGTTAATAACTAGAATCAACAAATGGGACTTACTCAAACTAAAAAGTTTTTTCTCAGCAAAAGAAACAATAAGAGAGGTAAATAGGGAGCCTACATCCTGGGAACAAATCTTTACTCCTCACACTTCAGATAGAGCCCTAATATCCAGAGTATACAAAGAACTCAAAAAATTAGACAATAAGAGAACAAACAACCCAATCAACAAATGGGCCAAGGACCTGAACAGACACTTCTCAGAGGAGGACATACAGTCAATCAACAAGTACATGAAAAAATGCTCAACATCTCTAGCTGTCAGAGAAATGCAAATCAAAACCACCCTAAGATACCATCTCACTCCAGTAAGATTGGCAGCCATTAGGAAGTCAAACAACAACAAGTGCTGGCGAGGATGTGGGGAAAAGGGTACACTTGTACATTGCTGGTGGGACTGCAGATTGGTGCAGCCAATTTGGAAAGCAGTATGGAGATTTCTTGGAAAGCTGGGAATGGAGCCACCATTTGACCCAGCTATTCCCCTTCTTGGTCTATTCCCTAAAGACCTAAAAAGAGCATGCTACAGGGACACTGCTACATCGATGTTCATAGCAGCACAGTTCACAATAGCAAGACTGTGGAACCAACCTAGATGCCCTTCAATAGACGAATGGATTAAAAAAATGTGGCATTTATACACAATGGAGTATTACTCTGCATTAAAAAATGACAAAATCATAGAATTTACAGGGAAATGGATGGCATTAGAGCAGATTATGCTAAGTGAAGCTAGCCAATCCCTAAAAAACAAATGCCAAATGTCTTCTTTGATATAAGGAAAGTAACTAAGAACAGAGTAGGGACGAAGAACAGGAGAAGAAGATTAACATTTAACAGGGATGAGAGGTGGGAGGGAAAGGGAGAGAGAAGGGAAATTGCACGGTAATGGAAGGAGACCCTCAGGGTTATACAGTGGAGGGGGTAGAGAGAGAGGAGGGGAGGGGAGGGGAGAGGTGGGGAGGGGGGAGGGTGGATGATGGGAAAGGCAGCGGAGCACAACAGACACTAGTATGGCAATTTGTAAATCAATGGATGTGTAACTGATGTGAATCTGCAATCTGTGTATGGGGTGAAGGTGGGAGTTCATAACCCACTTGAATCAAAGTGTGGAATATGATATGTCAAGAAATTTGTAATGTTTTGAACAACCCACAATAAAACATTAAAAAAAAAAAAAAAAAACAAAAAAAAAAAACAGTGCTGAGGATCTAACCCAGGATCTCACGCAAGCTAGACAAGTACTTACCACTGAGCTACATCACTAACCCTGGAGTTTGATTTTTTTTCCCCCCCTTGTATGAGAGACTGAAACTTAAGTCCTTGCTCTTGCTAGGCCAGAATTCTACCACTGAGTTACATATTTGACCCTTTATTTTTATTTAGAGACAGGGTCTCAATAAATTGCCCAGACTATCTTCAAACTTTGCAATTCTCCTGCCTCAGCCTTCCGGGTAGTTGGTATTGCAGGCGTGCACCACCACACCTGGCTCAGAATTTGATTAAATTTTCATGCCCTTTCTTAATGAATATACATATCCCAGTGCAGGCCTTAATTTTTTTTCTTTTTGGTAGAACTCGCCATAGAATCTTGTAGAATGGTAATTACACAAACCAAGCGCTGCAGGTTGACCCCAAATTTTCAGTGGGTATTGAAGGAGGCTAATTTCCAGTTCTTTTTATATATGCAAATTGTATTCACAAAGAATCACAACCCGGGGCTAGGTTGTGGCTCAGTGGTAGCATGCTTGCCTAGCATGCATGAGGCACTGGGTTCAATCCTCAGCACTCATAAAAATAAAGACAATAAAGTCCATCAACAACTAAAAAGATACTATTAAAAAAAAAAAAAAAACAACTAAAAAGATATTAAAAAAAATAAACACAAACCCAAATACCTTCCTGCCCACTGTTTACAGTGTTCAAGGGCAGAGATTCTGGTTCTGATCATGGCTTTCCTGTTGGCATGTTGGAGACTGATCCTCAGACTCCTCCTCTGTAAAAGGGGAGCTTACAGTCTTTACATTATGAGGCCCTTTCGAAGATTACATGAAATGTAATAGTATTTGATTCATGGGTGGGTAGCCCAGCAAATGGTAGTTGTTAATATTGTTTCCAGATAAGTGAGGAACCTATCAGATTTTCTGAGTATTTGGCTATTTAAGGATATACATATCTCGAGTTCAGTGAATGAACTTTTCCCATAATGCTGGAAAGGTTTCATTTCCCAATGCATTTAATCCCAGAAGCTTATTGTTCCTGAAAATGGCACCATGGTCAATTATCTGCCTCATTCATAAAAAACAAACAAAAAAACACTTTCCAGAAAGAGTACTATGATTGCTTCTAAATATACCCAGGTTGATTATCTGTACTCTTATTTTTGTTCTCTCCCTTTAGAAGTTCACTTGAAAAAAAAGACAGAGTAGATGAGAGCATTCGGTGGTTGGAGATGCACAAAAAGAAGTGTCAAGCAATGTCTAAATCTGTGACCTTGCGTGCAAAAGCCATGGATCCCCATAAAAGCCTGGAGGAGGTGTTCAAAGAAAAGCTGAAAGAGAACCGGTTAGTGTCAAAAGGGTGCAGGTCTTGGGATCCAGCACATGGTTGCCCGGAATATGTGGAGTTATTAAGCTTCTGTGATCACAGGGAGTCAAGAATTTTGCCAGGTAGTTAGGAATTTATAATACACATGGGAGTTAGAATAACTCAACACAACATAAATGAAGGGCATTCTAGATTGAAAAAGATGGAATTCTTTCTAGAAATCTTATCAATTCCAGGAACAATGACCGTAAAAGAGCAAAAGAGTATAAGAAAGAATTGGAGGAAATGAAGAAGAGAATACAAAAGAGACCGTATCTCTTCGAACAAGTTACCAAGGTAAAACTCAACTACCACTCATTTTCTTTTCTGCCTGGATGAATGTGAACTTAGAAGTTAAGAAACAATTTTAGTATGTGGGCACTGATCATTTCCTTAAGATTCAGATATTCTAAATCGAAACACCTTTTATTACTACATGTTTCCCCCTTAAATATAGGTCTTCATGGGTTCAGATGCTCACAAACACCCCACAAGGCTCTTTCTAGATTAACTTTGGCTTTCAGGTGAAAGAATCATTTGAAGATATTCTCTAGACTTAAGGGGAAGGTGAACTCAGTTGCGACTTCCCTAAGCAAGTCTGTTCAGCCCACAAAGGAAACCATCCCAGGCAGTTTGAGATCATGTTCTTTATATCCCTTTTCCCTTAGTTTCAGACAATAGTTGGGATTCCACAGTGGCTGGTTCCAGTTTCTGAGTATTACCTCCATCCTGTAGATATTGCAGGATCTAGGCATGTAGGGGTCCAGGTCCACCCCCTTCCCCAAGCACACCTGTATGCCACCAACACACTGGACTGACTGGGTTTACTTAGCAACTCACATTGTTCAAAATCTCAAGCCGACCTTTCCTCTTTATGTTAATTTGTGTCAAGCAGGTTTAGTCTTTAGATCCCTACAGATTTTTTCAACACACTAGGAAAAACAGAGTACTACAATTTTGCTCTTGAATAATACTTAAACTAAAACAAGCAAAAATTAACATTCACATACAGATTATCATCCTTATGTTAAGAATGTTCTCAATGCACCTTACTTTCTTCTGTCTTGGTGTTCCTAAGAATGGTTTGGTTGCTTTTAAATCATAAACTGCTGGGTGCAGTGGTGCCCATCTATAACCCCAGCAACTCAGTAGGCTGAAGCAGAATCAAAAGTTCAAAGCCAGTCTCAGCAATTTAATGAGGCCCTGAGTTAGCCAGACCCTGTTTCAAAATTTTAAAAAAAGGACTGGAGATGTTACTTAGTGGTAAAGCGCCCCAGGTTTAATCCCCAGTGCCAAAAAATAAGAAAATGAAAATAAATAAAGAACTTTAAATCTTAAAATGGTTTTAGTCCCCCATTTTTCATCTGAGTTTCACTTCATCTCCCACAAATTCAAGTCCTCGTTTTTAAAGGTGTGGTTCCCAAATTAATAGTTGGCTTCTCCTGAAGACATAGAGTTGCTAGAGTTGCAGGCCTCTTCTGCAATTGGAACCGGATTTGAAAAATGATCTGTTTCAAACTAAAGAAATCTAAATCTAATATCAGTGGTTATATTTTATTCACAGCCACACTATGCCTAATTCAAATGTGTTGTATGGCCATCCCAGATTTTGATTTCAAAATAAGTGGTGGTTTTAAAGGTTCCTCCCAGTGATGTTGCTGAAGATAACAATTTAGAGCTGCAGAGTGACAGCAGCATCTCAGATTAACATTATGCATTTTAACAAGATCCTCTGGGGCTCAATTGTACATTAAAGCTTGAAAAACATTAATTTTTATGCAAATCTGTCAAGCACTAAGTTTTGGAGGTGGTGGTAGGGACATTATTGTAGAGATACTGATTAAGATGGCAATTCACAAGATAGCTACAGCAGATTAATTTCTATCCTTCAGGACCTTGCCAGGAAAGAAGCAGAACAACGGTATCGAGACACCCTGAAGCAGGCTGGACTGGAGGAAGACTTTGTGAGGAACAAGAGTCGAGGCACCCGGGCTGTACAATGGAAGGAGGAGTCTAATGCCAAGGATTCCCCCAGGTAAAGTGAAAGGGAGAAAAGGATAGCATCTCCATTATTCTCAATTCTGTTTCTCAAGTTCCAGTATATCCTCCACTAATTCCTGTTTTCCCCTTAGACACGGTGCTTTATAGCCAGGCATGGTGGCACATGTGTGCAATCCATAAAATTTGGGATTATTAAGGCAGGAGGATTGCAAGTTCAAGGCCAGCCTCAGCCATTTAGTAAAACCCTGCCTCAGAATATAAAAAGGAGTAGAAATGTAGCTCAGTGGTAAAGTACCCTGGGTTCAATTCCCAAAAACAAAACAGAAATGTCTCTTTATAGCCAAGCATCATATGCCAGTAATCCCAGTGACTCAGGAAGCTAAGGTAGGAGAATCACCAGTTTGAGACCAATCTGTGTAACTTAGTGAGATCTAAGGGGCTGGAGTTGTGGCTCAGTGGTAGAGTGCTTGCCTGGCATATGTGAGGCCCTGGGTTCGATCCTCAGTACCACATATAAATAAATAAAAGACCCACTGACAACTAAAAAATATTGGAAAAAAAAAAAAAAAGAGAGCTAGAAATGTAGCTCAGTGGACTGCCCTTACTAAGTTCAATCCCTCATACAGGGGGGAAAAAAAAGTTGAGGCCATTCTTAAACTTTATACATTGCTTCCTTTAATTTAAAATATTCTGTTTCATAATGTTTTCATTTACTTTGCAGCATCTATGAAACTACAAACCTCAGCATCAATGATCCACAGAAGGATTTAGAAGGATCTCTAGAATAGCTTCTAAGCCCCCAAAAAGAATCGGAGGAGCTGTATTATGAATCATCAGACCATCTGAAATCACTGGCCTAATCAGCTCATGTAACATTACTGCTTTTGCGCATCAAATATCTCACTAGGGGTTGAGTCAAGGCAGGCAAAACTTGAGTTTGAATATTGCTACTATTAGAGAATAAGGAAAAGAAGAGTGACAGATAACAGGAATGTTTTTAAAGAATCAAATTAGAGAAGCTCAGGATAGAAGGATCATAACCCAGACCTAAGGGGTCTTACTTTGTACCTGACATTTAAGAGCAACTATAGAAAAAAGAACACAAGCCAAAATGCTAATCAGGGCTGTTCAGGAAACATGAGTGAGTTAAATGGGGTAGATATAAGATAGGAGATAGTAAGGAACCAGAGAGCATAAATCCTGTTAGAATACAGGCCCAGAATTACAACATCAGCTATTGTCATCAGAAGCCAGAAATGTTACAGCTACTTGGGAGATTGAAGCAGGAGGATCACAAGTTCAAGGCGAGCCTCAGAAACTTAGCAAGAACCTGTCTTAACAAAAAAAAAAAAAAAAAAAAAAAGGCCAGGGCTGGGGGCTAGAGCTTTAGTGGCAGAGCACTCCCCATGGACTTAATCTCCAGTACCAGACACACACACACACAACACACACACAAAGCCAGAAATGTGCATCTTGGCAACTAATTAAAAATTATTTAGGCCAGGCATGGTGGCACCCACCTGTAATCCCAGCGGATTGGGAGGCGAGGCAGGGTGATTGAGAGTTCAAAGCCAGCTTCGGCAAAAGCGAGGTACTAAGCAATTCAGACTCTAAATAAAATACAAAATAGGGCTGGAGATGTGGCTGAGTGTTTGAGTGCCCCTGAGTTCAATCCCTGGTACCAGCTGCCAAAGTTATTTTATGTGGGCAAAATAAAACACATCTGTTTACCAGATTTAGCCCATGGGGGATGACAAATTTGCAACCTTTAGTTCAGGGTTTCTTATCCTTAGCACTTGATATTTTGGGATTTTTTTTTTTTTTAAATTGGTGGTTATGAGAGGAAGCTGTCCTTTATAGGCAGGATCCCTAGTCTTTACTCACAATATCCCAGTAGCACTTTCTTTTAGTTTGACAACCAAAAGTGTTTCCAGATATTGCCAGATGTCCCCTAGAGGACAAAAACTTCCCAGGGTGAGAATCATCCAATATCAAAGTAAGACTGCAGAAGGCAAACACTGGGATTTTAATTGCCATGAACTGAATCCACATAGCACAAGAGGAGTATGAATATCTTTTAACAAATTATCTTTCTAGAAAAAATTCAAAATTATCTGTTGTTGTTGCTGTTTTCTCAGATGCAGACATGGTATTTTCTGATGGTAACAGAAGGATACTCTCAAACAACCATCTGGGTTTGCTAGTTAGAAATGAAGACACTCATGTTTCCTAAGACTCCTCAGTTCTGCTTTACCTCATGGAATCCTAACAATAAATCAGTGTTCTATCTTTAAAGAGAAGGAATGAATTATTTATTTTCTCTATAAGGAAACAAGTTTTGTCTAAAACAAGAACCAAATAACTGCCTGGGCTGTTTTATTTAAAGGGAAAAATGGATCATGTGATTTTTAACTTAAGAAACAAAACAAAAACCTCTTAACATGCTACTATTATGTTCCATAAGCAAAGAAAACAAAGTGACCAAGTAGAGGTGTACAGGACAAGACAGTACCTCAGCCTGGGCCAAGGGGAGATTCAAGTAATTTATTTTTTGCAGCCCAATGGCTGAGAGTCTGTTAACTCAGGTTGCTAAAGGGAGAATGCAGACAGAACTGACATCACTCCCTTCTTCAAAGCAACAAGGCATCTTGAAAACTTCTGGTGAAGTTCCGTAGTTGGTGACAGGACATTGTTCATCCCTGTGAAAAGATAGCTGGATCTGGGATGAAAGCTCTTCAAAGGAAAACCTCCCCTCAACCAGTCATAATGGAAAACTTAAGCCAACACGTAATTGAATTCACTTTAGGGAAAAGTCTATCCCAAAATTTTGCAGTGGGGAGAGAGGCAGGTTGTTACCCATCCCACGGTCACTGCTTGGCTCCTTGTCTGAATTAGATGGTGGCTGAAGAAAAGCTCTCATAATCCATTTTCTCTGCCAGGGAAGATAAACAGGAAAAAGTAGAGTCTTGTCCTTCACATATTCATTTGGTTCTGGCAGGTCGTGAGCCTTTGCATCCTTATTCCCACTATGCATTCTGGGATCAGAGCTGCTCTTCCAGGAGCACCCATGCTCATGTCCGTCTTTCAGTTAAATCTCCTTGGTTTAGTAACTGTAAAAGATTGAAAGCATATCTAAAATAGGTTATAGGTGAATTATAGGAAAATTAATTCATAATAAGCACAAGGGTTAAGAGTGAAGGGTAGGGAACACACTTGGGAGGTAAGTGAAGGACATTTAGTTCTGAAGCAAAAGACAAGCATAGACTGATAGATCTTTTTCATATATTAGCCTTGGGACAGCACTTGGGCCACTTCATGATGCTGTCATATGAACTATGGCAATAAAATATCCTATCTATAAACAGATCTATTGTTTGAATAGTCACTTACTTACCAATCAGTGATGGAGGAATGTGTAACTTACAAGGAAATTAGAAATAGTGGAGCTAAAACTCTTTAGATGTTTGTGTCAGCCAAAACACAGACTGAAACCTGAATGAGAAGAAAGCAGGAAAGGAGCCGTTCTATTATAAGACCTAAGAGCTGAAAAGGGTTTAAAAGAATACCTTTCCTTTGATGAAGGGATATAGTCCTGAGGGACACTCTGAGGGTGGCAGCAAACACTGACACTCTACTTGACACGTAAGGCTTCTGTTCAAAGGGAGGTTTCATGTAATATAAATCACGAAATCATATATTTTCCTATATTATTATAAAAAGAAAGTGAAATGGCGCCAGGGTTGTGGCTCAGTGGCAGAGCGCTTGCCTTGCACATGTGAGATACTGGGTTCAATCCTCAACACCACATAAAAATAAAGATTGTGTCCATGTATAACTAAAAAAAAATTTTTAAAAAGTGAGATGGGAGCAATTCAGTGAAATTCAAAATAAAAATTAGGCTTAACATCAAATGAGGTAAGTTCTTGAGCTTGATATGTATTTATTTGGTGATCTTAATTTGGATAAAGGTAATTTATATAGCAGAATTTAATGATGGAATTAAAAGAAAATTTAAACAAAGTTTAAAGAAATATTCAAAACTTAAACCATATATTTCCGTTGATGCTGTGTGGTACGGATATAAGAATGGTGTATTTTTGGCCTGGGGATATAGTTCAGTGGTAGAGCCCCTGCCTAGCACAGAGACCCGGGTTTGATCCCCAGCACTGAAATGTAGAATGTAGGCCAAGATTCTGATAAGGCTGCACTCAGCAATGGCACTTTTGGAGAAACAAACAGAATTTGTAATTATGTTTTCTGCTTTGATTTATTTGGAAAATACTCTAAGATATAGTTGAAGCTGTCTGGGTTCAAAGCTATACTGGTTCTTGAATTCAAGAATGTAAACTCAATGTAAATATGGAACCTCACTTGGGATGACCTTCAGTGGTAAGAGTCCAAAAGCCCAGGTTGCAATCAGCCCTGTGCAATGAGTCCTTTAATTCTTAGAGGAGACCTCAGGCAATACTAAGAAAAACCAGAAATTATATAATCTGAACCCTTTGAATAAGTTCCCCCCATCACCTTTGATACTGGGGATTGAATGCAAGAGATCTCTACTACTGAGCTACATCCCCAGACTTTTTAAAAATTTGTTGTTGTTGTTTGAAACAAAACATTTTATTATGGATTAAGAGGCACACAGAAATAGAGACCTGTGCAATGGATCCATGTGTCCTTCACTAAGCTTAAATAGACATTAACTCAGAGTCAAACTCATTTCAACTCATCCCTTCCCTGCCACCACCACTGCTAATCTACTAAACTATTCTGAAGCAAATTCTTGTTCAATGATTTCTGTCATAAATAAGTCGTCCTTATGGATATCTAAAAGATGAGCACTTTTTATAAAAATATAATCACAATATCATTATCCCAGCTAAAACAAAGTAACAGTAATTTCTTAATATTATCCCATATGCAGTTGGCCTTGCTGAGCTTGGCCTTGAAGTTGTGATCTTCTTGCCTCAGCCTCCTGGGTCACTGGGATTACAGAATTGTGCTACTATACCTGGATTTGAATGAGAGTTGGCTCAAAGTTTTTTTTTTTAACATTTTCCATGAAATTTCTGATACCTGATTTGTTCTCTGATTTTTTTTTTTTTTTTAAACTAGGGATTGAACCCAGAGGTGCTTTACCACTGAGCTGTATTCCCAGTCCTTTTTCTTTTTAATTGCTGAGGCTGGCTTCGAACTTGTGATCCTCCTGCTTCAGCTTCACAAGCTGCTGTGTTTACAGGCATGCACCACTGTGCCTAGCTGACCTCTGATATTCTTGCTAAGGTATTTTTGTAGTACTGGAGATCAAACCCAGGGGCCCTCTATTACTAAGTCATATCCCCAGTCCTCCCCATCACTTTTTTGAGATAAGGCCTTGCTAAATTGCCCAAGACGGTCTCAACTTGCAATTCTCCTGCCTCAGCCTCCCAAGTCACTGGGATTAAAGGCATGCACCACATAGTCTGGTTATTTTTACATCAATATTTACATGGGTTAGAAGTTCATCAGTAGATCTTATAGATCTGATCTACAATGCATGATGACCTCCAACAGCAGATGGAAGAAGCAGCTTGTGTTGTTTTAAAACCTGCAAATAGCCTACATCTTCTCTGGTATCTGACCTTGCTTTTTTCCCAAGTGCTGGCGATCAAACACGGGGCCTTGTGCATGTTAAGAAAGTGCTCTACAACTGAACTACCCCCCCTTCAGCTCAAAAGAATTCTTAGAAATCAACATAACTAACTCACCAGAGCAAAGAACAGTTAGTACTTAGTCCTTGGATTAGGAAGAAGACTAAGCCTGGAGCCTCGAATGCCTTATTAAAATGAAGTTACTAGAGAATATGATATGCCCACCTAGAAAAGAAGAGGAGCTACACAGTGGAAACGTCCATGGTAAGGAGAAGACAATAAGGCAAGAGATGTGGGGCTCAGCAGAGGGTGTGTCTGTAAATATACAAGGACACATGAGGTAAAAAGTGATAGTGCAGGATTTTTAGTTACATTAAGGGCAGCAATTTCCTCTTTGAGTTAATATTTTTCTGTTAAGTGTTCAGGGCTTTCATTATGAAATTGGGTACTTAGGGGCTGTTAGACCCTTAGCTTTTTTGGGGGTAAAGGACTTACTGTGTTCTTTTGTTTGTTTTTACAGTACTGAAGATCAACCCAGGATCTTGCATATGCTAGGTAAGTCCTCTACCAGTGAGCTATATTCCAAGTCCTCTTTTGATTTTTATTTATTTATTTTTAATAAGTTTTTTTTGGTACTAGGGAGTAAAACCTGGGGCACCTTTACCACTACAGTACATTCCCAGTCCTTTTTCTATTTTGAGACAGGATCTCACTACATTTTGGAGGCTGGTCTTGAACTTGCAATCCTCCTGTCTCAGCGTCCCAAAGTCACTGGGCTTAACAGGTATGCTCCACCACCACCTGGCTCCTCTTTCGATTTTTAGGCAATCTATGTTACCGAGTCTGCCTAAGGTTGTCAGTAGGCAGCATCTACAAGTCAATGCCAAGACCCATGTGCCTAGGTTCAAATGAACAAATTTACTATTTCTAGAATTCTACATATGTAAACATGATCATATTTTACCCATGCAGTAGCTCCCAATTGCCCCCAGGACAAAAATTATGTCTTAGAAAGTCCTTCAAGAAGGAACCAGCTTAGGGCTGGGGATGTGGCTCAAGCAGTAGCGTGCTTGCCTGGCATGTGTGCGGCCCGGGTTCAATCCTCAGTACCACGTACAAAAACAAAAGATGTTGTGTCCGTCAATAACTAAAAAATAAATATTAAAATTTTCTCTCTCTTTAAAACTAAAAAAAAAAAAAAAGAAGGAACCAGCTTAGGGGCTAGGGTTGTGGCTCAGAGGTAAAGCACTTGCCTACCATGCGTGAGGTACCGGGTTCAACCCTCAGCACCACATAAAAATAAAGATATTGTGTCCACTGGTAACTAAAAAATAAATATTAAAAAAAGAGAAGGAACCAGCTTATCTTTCCAGCTCTCATGTTTCTGTTCCAGCCCATCTACCTATTTTATGTCCTATCATATTCAATCATCTGGGGTTCAGAGATGTATCCCGCTCCCTTTCTCTGCCTTGTACAGTGCTGCCCTTATGCAAGTTATTTTCTTCGTAACTCTTCCACCTCCTCCATCAAGATGACTTCTATTCATCCCTTAGGTCTCAACTTAAAAACTCTAAAATATATTCTCTGACTTTTCTTAATATAGGCGCTTACTACACTGTTAAAAATTGTTGGTTTATTGATCTCCCATTCCTCACATTCTAACCTCTCTGTACAGCACAACTCCTTGGACACCATTAATATAGTTATGAAGTTATAAAAGATAGAGGCCTGCCTGTAAGCTGAAATAGGCAATATTGTGTTTACTATTGTATAACTAGCATCCTAAAGTGTGCTTTGCATCAAGTATGTAACAAATATCAGTTGAATGAAGTAAGGTTTTATATGTCTGGCATTTTACATGGGGTTACCTGAACTGCTTCAATTTTTTAAAAAAGTATTTATTGGTATAGGAAAGCTGTATGCTTTTTAAAAAAAATTGTCATAGGATAATTTGTGTAAGGTAAAAATAAGATAAGGCCTTGCTAAATTGCCCAAGGTGATCTCAACTTGCAATTCTCCTGCCTTAGCCTCCCAAGTCACTGGGATTAAAGGCATGCACCACATAGTCTGGTTATTTTTAAAGCAATATTTACATGAGTTAGAAGTTCATTAGTAGATTCTTATAGATCTGACCTACAATGCATGATGATCTCCTGGAAATTATTTTTCTGAAATGACCATTTCAGGTATCCCATTTTGCTAGTCTTAATAAAAAGAGATCTAGGCCAAGATCGATAATAGTTGCCAAACTTTTACATAACCTATAAGTCATTTTGGGGGGTGCAGGGTAGGTATCAGGGATTAACTTGGGGGCACTTGACCACTAAGCCACATCCCAGCCCTATTTTATATTTTATTTAGAGACAAGGTCTCACTGAATTGCTTAATGTCTCGTTAATTTACTGAGGCTGGCTTTGAACTAGCAATCCTCCTGCCTCAGCCTCCTGAGCCGCCTGGGATTACAGGTGTAAACCACCACACCTGGCTTACAAATTATTCTTAAGACTAGTAAGAGAGTGAGTGCTATCATGTGCCTCCCAATGAGATGTAATGAGAAGCAAGAGCATCACCTGTAAAATATTCTTGTCAAGGCAGGAGGGGAATGAATCTAACCAAACTTCTAAATGTAACTATAAGTGTTTTTAGGAAACCTGGTAGAGAAATTAAAAGTACATCAGCCAAAACTAGAATTCTTAAGGGAAATTCTTCAGGACAAATAACCCAATTCCTTAAATAGCTAACGATACTATAGGGGAAGGGGGAAGTAAAGGTAAGGAGGGGATTATTAAGGAAAATTAAGAGCTAAATTAAACATATGGGCCTTGTTTGAATCCTGATTCAAGTAAACTAACCATAAAATGACACTTTTAAGAAAAAAATAGAAGAACATGAATATTTGAAATACCAGAGGATATCAATAAGTTATAATTTTGTTGGGTTTGGTAAAGATAGCTATTTCTGAAAGTCCTTGTCTATTAGAGAGTATACTAAAAATTTACAGATATGTCAACAATTTGCTTTAAAATACTCCAGCAGAAACTCAATGGCAACAACAAAAAAGATGGGGGGGGGTTAAAAAAGAGTATAAAGTTAATTACTGCAAATGAATGACAGGTGCATAGATTCGCTGTACTATTATCTCTCACCACACACTCCGAAAACTTCTGAAACACATATTTGAAAACAGAAAAATGAAGAAGGGCAAAAATGAAGGAGAAAGAAAAAGCTCCTAAGGTGAGACAGATAATTAGTTTCAAAGCAATAACCTGGAAGAAATGACTTAAGATTGAACCAATGATTCCAGTAGCAAAATATTCAAAATAATAGAATCAAGGCTTTGAAAGGGTCACAACAATGAATGAACAAAGAAAGGGCCCGGCAGAGCATTAGCACAATGCCCAGAATCCTGTGATCCTGGGGATCCCAAGGAATATTTTACAACAATTGAGAATATTCAATATAGAATGCACAGTTATTTGAATAATGTAGAAGTTCACTGTGGCAAAATTATAATGACAGGAAAGAGGGGGAAAAGAAGGGACAGCACTGAAAAATAAACTAATAGCTAAGTTTATTTTAAACAGCTAAGGGATCCAAGCTACTTAACTTTTGGCAAAAGTTAATACACAGCCAGGTGCAGTGGTACACACCTATAATCCCAGTGACAGGGGAGGATGAAATAGGAAGATCACAAGTTCAGGCCAGCCTGGGCAACTTAACAAGACCTTGTCTCAAAATAAAATTAAAATAAACTTGTGATGAAGTCATGTACTCACATGACACTAGACCAATAAAATATCCTAAGATTTCAGAAGCCTGTCTGATTCCCATTCTACTCTTTAGGTCTGAGCCAAGACCATAGAGTAGGAACCTAAAATCAATCTGAAACACCTCCTTAATGTTAATTATTCTCATTCAAAAAGCAACTGAACACATTCCTTTATGCCCAGTTGGCATAGTATGGCATCTCTTAGACTATAACCAGAGCAGGTGAATGTTAATTATTTTGAATTGTTTTGTTACTAAGCTTTTTTTGCTCAAAGGTTTGTTCCAGGATGTTATTTCCTTTAGTGGTAGAGCACCTTGGGTTCAATCCCCAGTACCAAAGGAACTGGGGATTGAACCCAAGGTGCTCTACCACTAAATTACCCTAGTCCTTTATATTTTTTATTTTGAGACAGGGTCTCACTAAATTGCTCAGGCTTGCCTGTAACTTGAGATCCTCAGGCCTCAGCCTCCTGAGTTGCTGGGATTACAGGCCAGTGCCACTGCACCCAGTAGATGTTATTTTCTTTATACAATAAAAAACAGTATCCACAATGAGGCAGAAAACAGTGGTAACAGACATCACTGATTAAAGAATATACATAAAGGAACTCTAAAAGTGAGAGTCCCAGCTGTGACAGAGTTATCTCCCAACTCACAAGACCCTAATACTCAAGTTCTTAGCAAGCGGGATTTGCTTAGCTTAAAGGAAGAAACTCCAGTCAAAGTTGCCAGGAAATGGAAATTACAAAGAATTTTTTCAGTTCCTCTAAACTAGATTCCCAATCACTCTCATTACGTCACCATAGAAACAAAACAGGGCAAGAGACAGTTTTACCTCTTGCGGATTTACTGCAGTTAGAACAGAAACTTCATATGACTGCCTCCCTGACTGCATGGTCACCAAGTGATGTGTCACATCAGGCACTGAAGACAGGGGACGTGGGGATCCTTCAGTGAGCACCTCTGTGAAACAGAAAAATGAATCTTCAATGAAAGGTAAATTCTCAGATATACCTAATGCCGCATCAAGCCTTTCAATAAGAAAAACTCTAAAAACTGTTCTGTGAAAAAGTGAATCCCACATTCCTATATTTCTTCAAGTTAATTCCTGCCTGATAATCAATACCAGTGAAATTTGGAAAGTATTAAAAAAGAAGGATGAAAGAAAAAGAATTCTTGATGCAGAAACTGATAATTTTTCAACAAACCAATTTAGAGTAATATGGCTTTACCACTGTTACTAGGACTATAATAATGGGGTATGAAACAGGCCAAATGAAGTTCAGGCAGGCAAATCAGGGAATCTGACCAGCCCTTGCAACAGTCACCAATAATTCCAGTAGTGCAATACGTGCAGGTCCAGAACTTAAGCTAATCCTGGCTTCAAAGTTCTCACTCAGTGTGCCTTCCTCAGAGCTGGCAAAGCAGTTTCATGCAATTCCTGTGCCTCTGGCTTTGGTTATCTACTCAGATTATTCATGAAACAAGAGGAGGCATACTGTGGTAGCACACAAGCCCCATATGGGCTCCACACAGAAGTTACACAAACACAGTCACACCCAAAACTAAGATATAAATACCTAAAACACAGGACCTCATACTAAAATATAAACAAGTGAGATCACCATAAAAATCTTCTGGTAACAATTTACAGATAAATCACTTAGCTCTCAACTCATTTATCCTCTATGTGTTTTGTGGCTTACACTGCTCTTCCAGACTCTATACTGAATAATTTAAGGCTTGGTGATACACTCTCTTTCATTTACTCTATCACAAATGGATTTTAAGGTCCCTATTCTAATTTTATTCTTTCCCATGGTGCCAGGCACACAGTAGGCACTGAATAAATGCATGCTGACCTCACCTGGTAAGTTTTTCAGAGAAGAGGGCCTGGCCTGTGTAACTTGGGTGAAATTTCTATACCAGAGAGGAGCAACTGTTTCCTAGAGAGCCCCTTTTTTTTTCTCCAGAAGATATGGCTTTTGAAGGTATGGAGAAATTGCTTTATATCTCCTCTGTAAAACCTGGTTATGTTCTGTTTAAATGTTTTAAAAGTTAAGTTCTTCCATAACTGCAATAGGAAAGACAGAAAGAGTTGGCCTAGGATGCTAGGATTACAGATAATTTTCCCTTTAAATTTTTTTTTCTTTATCTTTGGAGTACATCATCTTCAATGATTTAAAAAAACAAAACAAACCAAAAAAACCCTCAAAAAATCCAAAAAAACACAGATTCACTATCCACCCCAGTGAATAAGAACACAAATGCTACTCAATCATACCATAGCTACTCACAAGAAATCTCCATTCTGTAGTCAACCCATTCCTTAGCCTCAAGTTGCAGCCTTTCCCCCAGGAGAATTACAAGTCTTACCATCATCAACTCCCAGGATAGAATTGGTATTTGGTAGGTTCAAGGTCTCTCCATCAAGGCTGGGCTGGGAATTCATAGACACCAGGTTTTTACTGGGTACTGAAGCCTCTTCAAGCAAACTACTGCCCATTAGTGGCTCAGCTGCACAGAGAATAGGGTGTGAGAGACATGCAGCAGTCAATGCTAGGCCAGGTCCTCATCTTCCTTCACAAGGAAGCTAGAAGTTTTATCTATATCTTGGATGCCACATCCCATTTCACCCATTTTCAGGAAATGAGAAGAAATCTAGAAGGGAAGTTGAGCATTGGGGATAATATCTTGCTCAATATCTAAAAAATAGCATATGAAATGGAAAGAATAGATACCCATAAAGAAGTACTTGGAATGAATAATAGGTTAAGGAAGACATGAAAAAGGAATAAGAATAAAAAGTTATTAAATTAAAGATAGGGCAAAAGACATTCAAATGATATCTAAAAAACATTTAAACTTTTGTTATACATAAATCTTTTATTATATGCTTTTCAAATGCTGGTTCATGGACCAGAACTAGTTACTCACTAAGGGAACTTCTATGGTTTTTGTCAGGTGTTTTTTGAGACAGGATCTTCCTATGTTGCCCAGGTTGATCTCAAAACTCCTGGGCTCAAGTGATTTTCCCACCTTAACCTCCCAAGTAGCTGGGAAAAACAAGCACATGTTACTAGAAGAACTTGTATTTATTTATTTGTTTTTTGATGATGATGATGATGATGATGACGACGACGACGATGATTTTCCAGTGCTAGGGACTGAACCCAGGGTTTGATCACAACAGACAAGAACTCTACCCACTGAGTGATACCCCAGCTCTTAGGGGAACTTTTGTGTGTATGTGTGGTATTAGGATTTAAACCCAGGGCTTCATGCATGAAAGGCAAATGCTCTACCTCTGAGGTAACTTCCAGCCCTTTTTAAAAAATTTTGACACAGGATCTCACTAAGTTGCCCAAACCAGTGATCCTCCTGTCTTAGTCTTCCACTTCTCTTGTGCATGCACCACTGTTAACTGTGTTGGGAAATTTTTAAAACTACAGATTCTGGGATCTTAAAATTTATTTTATCTCATTTTCAAATTCCTTTGTTTTGTATGGATGAAGACAAGAGAATGAGTAATAAGAAAATATATGCTTTAAAAAATGCCGGTGACTGGGCATGGTGGTATATATCTGTAATCCCAACAACTTAGGAGGCTGAGGCAAGAGGACTGCAAGTTTGAGGATAGCCTCAGGATATGGACAGATGCTCAGAAACTCAGTGGACCATGTCTTAAAAAGGACTGAGAATGTGGTTCAGTGGTAAAGCACCCTTGGGGGAAGGGGATGGGGGGGGGGTAAGGAAAGGAAAGGATACAGTGTACAGATGATTGTATTATATAGCTATGTTTGGAAATCACTAGTCCATCAAATGAAACCAGGTCTCTCTACCTGAAACATTATCAGAAAATCTCCAGACAACCAAGCAGGCCAGTGACTTGGCTCTCTGAACCTAGAAGACACAGTCCTCCATTATGTCCCCACCCTCCTCACCAGTTTGCTCCTGTTCTTGATTCCCAGCTGCTCTCAGCTGCAAGTGATGCTTTCTCATGTGTACATTTCTGCTCCCACTCTGAGAGAAGGTCTTCCCACAGACTTGGCACTGATGAGGCTTCTCTCCTAAAATAAGGATTAGGTTAGACAGGGCAGCCAAAAAGATGGGATGCAATTCTGATGGCAAGAGAGTAGACTGAAGACTTAGATGAAGAGGGTCAGAGAATGTTAAACTACACACAAGAGGTTACTCCTCCCATTCCCCACCTTTGTCAGCCTCTTAACTTTTAACACATGGGGAAATCAGGAAGGGTCAGCATACTCATTACTTCAAGCCTCAGTCCTTTCTAGATCCACTGTACTGTGGCCTTCTGAAACAGCCTCTTTAGTATAGGATCATGGCAACCACATGAAGTATTTAACCAGCTTCCTTGGTACCGTAAACCAAATTCAGAATACTCTATTACCGAACTATATCCCCATCCCTTCTTATTTTCTGTTTTGAGACAGGGTCTTGCTAAGTGGTCCAGACCAGCTTAGAACTTGTGATCCTCCAGCTCAGCCTCCCAAGTAGCTATGATTACAGTATACACTACCACACCCAGCTTTTACTTTTCAGATAGCCATCAATGGACCTCTAGGACATGTACCCTCCTCAAGCATTCCAACTCTGGGTTTATAACATCCCCTGAACCTATTCCTTGCCGCCTTGGTGTTGCCATGTGGGGACTGAGGCCTAGCACTATCAGATCCTGATATATTTTTTCTTTTCTTTCTTTTTTTTTTTTTAAAGAGACACTAGAATTGAAGATTTTTAAATAAAATCTTCCAACCTGTAAATGCTAGGAACAAATTTACACAATTGATAAAAACACTATGCAGCAATTTTCATTGCTTTTGACAACACAAAAGTTTACAACTTTTGAGGCAGGGAATCAGACATTATCTAGAAAAATTACAAATGTATTTGTCCTTTGATCTAGGAATTCGACTTGTAAGGTGACCTATCCCAGAGTTACAGTGGCAAATTGTTAAACATCTATGTACAAGGTTATTCACGGTAGCATCATTTTAAATGGCTAAAGACTAAAGACAATACAAAATTCATCAGAGAGTGACTGAATAAATTTACAGAATATAAGCACGGTGAAATATTATGAACGAATCTACAAAAAGGAATAGTGAAAATTTCTATACATTAGATATGGAGTGAATCCAGGAAGTACTGTCAGGTTAAAACAAAAATATACATAACTAGGCCTGGGGATATAGCTCAGATAGAGTGCTTGCCTTGCATACACAAAGTCCTTGGTTTAATCCCTAGCACCACAAAAAACAAACAAAAATATATATACATAACTACAGAACTATACACATACTATGCTACCTTTGTGTAAGAAAAACGTGTTTGGAAACCACTAGCCCATCAAATGAAACCACGTCTCTCTACCTGAAAACATTATCTGGAAAATCTCCAGATAGCCATCAGAGACTGACCAAATAAATTTACAGAATAACCACATCCCTACGATGGCTACAATCAAAGACAAAAACAAGTGTTGGCAAGGTTGTGAAGAAACTGGAACCCTCATACACTGCTTGAAGGAATGTAAAATGGTGCAGCCATTTTGGAAAACTGGCAGTTCCTTAGAAAGTTAAACAGAATTACCATATGACCCAGCAATTCAGCTCCTAAGAACATACTCAAAAGAAATCGAAACACATTAATATGCTAAAACTTACATGGAAATGTTGATAACAGCCTTATTCATAATAGACAAAATGGAGGGGGGCTAGGATTGTGGCTCAGTGGTAGGGCACTCGCCTAGCACGTGCAAGGCCCTGGGTTCGATCCTCAGCACCACATAAAAATAAATAAATAAAATAAAGAGATTGTATTCAACTATAATTAAAAAAAAATGGAGTACATCCACACAAGGAAGTATTATTCATTCATATTAAAATTCAGTGTGAATATATGCTACAATGTGAATGAATTCTAAAAATATATGCTAAGTGAAAGTGGTCACAAAATGATACATATTGTATAATTTAATTCATATGAAATGTATTTTATAGAACAGGCAAATCTATACAGACAGTAAATTAACAGTTGACAGGGGACAAAGGAATAGAAAACTAAGAAGTGACTACCAGTGGATAGGGGTATTGTTTTGGGGATGATGAAATATTCTTTAATTGAATACTGATGACAATTGCAAAAATATGAATATACCAAAAATCACCCAATTGCACACTATTTAAAAGGGGTAAATCTTATATGAATTATATCTCAATTTTAAAAAATTGTGTGAGGGAAATATAAAAAATAGATGTTTTTGTTTATGTTTGCAAAAGGAAATACTGGCCAAAAGAGAAAAACACCTTTAAGAGCCATGCACAGTTGCACATGTCTGTAATACCAGATAATTTGGGAGGCTGAAGCAGGAAGATCCCAAGTTCAAGGCCACCCCAGCAACTTAGCAAGACCCTGCCTCAAAATAAAAAATAAAAAAGGTTGGAAGTGTAGAGCACCCTTCGGTTCCACTCTCAGTACCAGGGGAATAAAAAAGCAAGAACAAACAAAGAAAACTAGTCCCTACATAAATTAAATGATTTTAAGGAAACAAGATTACTTTATTTCAATAAATTAGACAACTTACATGAAATAAATTCCTAGGAAGATAATTAGAAAAACTGAACCAAGAATAGAAAATATGAATAGATCCATAGCAAATAAACTGAATTAGTAATTGAAACTCTTACTCCAAAGAAAAGCTTCCTTAGTGAAAGTTTAAATATTTAAAGAAATAATACTAATCCAACACAAATTCTTCTAGAAAAGAGAAGAGCAGACTTATCTGTTTATATTTTTGTATTATCCCTGATATAAAAGCCAGATAAAGACATCATCAGGATAGGCTGGAGTTGTGGCTCAGAGGTAGAGCGCTCACCTACCATGTGTGAGGCACTGGGTTCGATCCTCAGCACCACAAAAAAATAAAATAAAATAAAGATATTGTGTCCACCTATAATTAAAAAATAAATATTTTTTAAAAAAGACATCATCAGGAAAAAAAACTAAAGACTTCATGAATGTACATATAAAAATCCTTAACAAACTATTTTAATCCATTTTCTGTTGCAGCACAAAGTATCTGAGGCTAGGTGATATATAAAGAAAAGTGGTTGATTTAGCTCACAGTTTTGGAGGCTAAAAGTTCAAGATTGAACAGCCTCATTAATCTGGCCTCTAGTGAGTGTCTGATTGGTTATTTTAAAACACTGGAGGTAAACCAGCCTTGTACAGAAGGGGCCAGGTGTGCGGGGTGGCCTCATTTTATAACAACTCCCAAGAGAACTAACACTGTCTTCCCTCTGGAAGACAAGCATCAATCCCTTCCAAGGGCAATGCCCCCAGTGACTTCCTCATTCATAAAAGTTCCACTACATCTTAACATCACCACACGGGAGACCAAGCTTCCAACTTGGTCTCTTGAACCCTAGAGGGACAAACCATTACACAAACTATGAGAAAATCAAGTCTAGCACAATATAAAAGGGATTATATACTATGACCAAGTGGAATTTATTCCAGGAGTACAAAGTTGGAACCACACACACACAAAAAAAAAAAATCAATTAATGTATCACACTAATGCAATACAAAAACAGTCATCTCAGTGGACATAAGAAAAGTGTTTGTCTGGAGCTGGGATTGTGGCTCAGTGGTAGAGCGCTTGCCTGGCATGTGTGAGGCCCTGGGTTCGATTCTCAGCGCCACATATAAATAAATGAACAAAATAAAGGCCCATTTAAAAAAATAAAGGAATCTCTTTAAAAAATAAATATCCTTTTTTAAAAAAGCATTTGTCAAGACCCAACACCCATTCATGATTTAAAACAAACAAACAAACAAACAAACAAAAAACACAAAACTCTGAAACTAGGACTAGAATAGAAGTTTCTCAACTGTTAAAAACATGGGATGGGCTGGGGATGTAGTTCAGTGGTGCAGTATTTGCCTAGTCTGTCTTGGGTTCAATCCCTAGCACATGAAAGGAGAAAGTGGGAAAAGGATTGAGGGGAAAGGTGAGATGCAGAGAGGGGAAAAAAAATCATGTAAACAAAACTACAGTTAACATTGAACTTAATCATGAAAGGTCAAATGCTCTCTGAGACTGGAAATAAGTCCTCTCTCACCACTTCTATATAACATTGTACTGGAGGTCCTAGCCAGTGCAAAAGGCAAGAAAATAAATTAAAGGTATACAGTTTAGAAAAGAAGTAGTAAAATCATTTCAATTCTTATGTGACACAATCTCATACTTAAAATATCCTAAGGAACCTATTTTAAAAATCTACAAAAACTCAACTGTTATTGATGTTTCAAGGTCAATATAATTCAATTGTATTTCCATATAGTAGCAATGAACAACCCAAAAATAAAATGAAGAAAAAGAGCATGAAAAATAAATATTAAAAGTAATCAGAGCACCAATTCCTTATTTTGAAAACTCATAATTAAAATATTAATAAATTAAAATATCCTGCCTTACATGTGCAAATGATCAAATAGCTTACTTGATGGGGAAGAATATCAATGTATAGAAGAATTCCAGCTAATGTGAAAGGAATAATAGAACAAGAAAAATCAACATTTTACAATTCCTAATGAAATAACAGATTTGGGCATCATTCGAGAGTGAAATCATAAAGTGAATGGTTAATAGGGAACTTTACAAAGCAGGCTGTTACCACCTGAAACCACTGATCAATTGTGGATTCAAACACTGTGTGCCTCGTGATGTGGTACAAAATGAAGCACACAGAACCATTCATGATAAATTCTTGCCAAAAAACTGAATCTTTGAAACTGTTAGAGTTTAGTTCCATTCACAGGAAATATAAGGAAACAAATGACATAAAAGGAAGCTAACCAACAAATCTAAAATGTGGAATGTTCTAAAAGACCTAATTGACCCTGTTCTCAACAAGTCTATGAAAAAAAATAATAAATGAATGTAAAAAGATCTAGATTAAAATAGACTTAATAACCAAGTGCAATTTTGGACTTTGTTGAATCCTTATTTAAACAAACCAACTTTAAAAGTCATTTTTGAGGCAACTGGAAAAACTGAACTTGGACTGAGTGTAGCATGAAACCAAAGAGTTAACTGTTATTGCAAGAACATGTTTTCTTTATATTTGTGTATGTCTGACATAATTTTACATAAAATTAAGTAAAATAAAACACTCTACAAGCTAAGCAAAACACATCAGAAGTCCATATTCTGTCCGTAGGATAACAATTTGCCATGTCTACTTAGAATTATCATTAAAAAAAAAAAAAAAAAAAAAAAAAACTGCTTTACCCTAAGATTTCAACTCTGATTTATATCCGTGGTTGATTATACCTCTCCCAATCCCTTGTTCCCACTGAACTGCCTTAGGGTCCTCATTATAAATAACTTCCAGTTCTTTCTCTCCACTTTTCCTGTACTGGCTTTTTTTGCTTCCCATGGACATTCATCTCAAAAATTATCTGATTCCATTCTAGAATCTCTCTCCACCTTGAGTTCACCTTTCCTTGGCAAATCTCTGCTCTGAAAAACTCCATGGCTCATTTTCTCCAATGTCCAGCTTTTAAATTGTTGACTTGGAGAAAATTCCATTAAATCTGAACAGGTCCATGAAAAAAAGTCATTCCATCTATTCTTAGCTGTGTCCTCCCCCTCGCTGCTATTTCCCAATCCTTTTATTCACTCTTATTAGTTCATTCAACAAATTCCTACCATGGCTGGGGCATTTTCCCACCTCTAAGACACATACAGGTTAGTCTATAGGCTCTTCCATTTCTCTTCCAACCCCTTTTCTAACCCCTTCTCTTTCTTAAGTCAATAGTCTTATCCTGCGGCTTCTATTTCAGTATTACTGTATATCCAACCAATTGTGGATTTGAACAAATTATTCCACTGAGTCTCTATGCTCCTGCCATTCCCTGGAGCAGACTCTTGACCAGACTAAAAGAAACAGTTTTCTGATTTCTTCCTGTTTCAATTTAGCTTATCTAACACTGCCAGAATAACTTGCAGTAAGCTGAGTTCTCATCAGGCTGTATCTATGGCAGGCTCCACAAACTCTCCTTCCTGGCATTCTAGGTCCTTTTAAAACCATCTTTCCAGCCTGCTTCCAACATAATTTACCAAGTCTCACAGGAAACAGTCCCACTAAAATATAGATTTCTCCCTGAGCTGTACCTGACTTTGGATTGGGAAGATAGGGAAGACAGGAAGGAAAAGAATATCATTTTAGCTTTTTTCTATTGAGCTCAAAAGGACTGGTTGGTGTAGAATATTTTCAGATATTTTGAAAGACACTGTTAACAGGGAGAACCAGTCATCTGTGTAGAATGAGAATATTGACAGAATTACGGGGAATTAATTTAAAAATACAAAAAGGAATGGATCAATAACTCTCTTTTCTACACTAATGGCAACAAGGTTGTAATTGCCAAAGGCATCGTTTCTATAAAATTGGTGACTGAAGCAAGATCACCCACACCTTCTCAGAAGGCTGTAATATTACTGGTATGCTGCCACAGACATCAATCTTCCTTCTTTCTTCAACAAAAACATCAGTTCCTATGGGGCTGGGGGCGTGGCTCAGGGGTAGAGTGCTTGCCTAGCATATGTGAGGCACTGGTTCGATTCTCAGCACCACTATAAATAAATAAAGGTCCATCAACAACTAATAAAATATTTTTTAAAAAATCAAGTCAGTTCCTAGTCCATGTTTGATATAACTTAGGAAGCACCCAGCACAGTACTAAATTTACTCATCTTCTTAGAAAAGGTCTGGATTAGAAAGTTCCTCAGTGACTCAGATAAAAATAGATTCCCCATCTCCCATTAATTATAAGACCCTTTGAATACAATTATTAAGGACCCTGATTTTTATTTAGTCAAGATGATGAGAAGTTGTATGTACCTTTAAGGTAAACAGTTTGTTTCTTTTTAGACGTTTTTTACACTACCCCCTACCAACCTTTTGTCTTTTTACTATTCCTGAAATCTACAAATGGCATAGGTTCCAATACCTGAGTGAACCACCAGATGTTTTCGGAGGCTAGAATACTCTGCAAAGGAACGGCCACATCCTTGGGCTTCACAAAGGAAAGGCTTCTCTCCTAGAGGTAGAAAATGAGATAAAGACTCAGTCTTCTGATGACCTGACTTTCTACTACTCTCTTTTCCCATCAACTTTGTTTTCAATGACTTATTCATTCTGATTTCTTTGGTTCATGCTACATGCTACATAATATCAATCAGATAACTTAGCAAGTGTTGCCTCTCAATAATCTAGTATACAGCCTAAAAGATAGCCATGCTTTTTCCCTTAGAAGGGCTGCCTCTGAGCCTCATATTTCCTTTTCCCTCCTAGCTCAAGGGCTGACTCCTCTAGCTTTAAGAATCCCATCCCTTCTGATGACATTTAAAGAATAAATTTGGACTGGGGTGTAGCTCAGTGATAGGGTGCTTGCCCAGCATGCACAAGGTCCTGGGTTTGATCCCCAGCATCACAAAACAAAATAAAGCCCCCCTGACACACACACAAAAACAAGTTTCTATGCTGTCAGGATTCTTTTTAAGACTCAGATCCATATTTTAGGTTTAAAATAGACATTATACAGCCTCATTCCATAAAACAAAGGAATGAAGAGATATTTTAGTCATAGGGGTGAAGTTTTGTGGAAGTAGTCATATCCACATAGTTGTGTTACGGATGATCTATTTTGTGTTTTTTCATTATTTTTATCTTCTACAATATTACTTTGTTATTTTAAAAAAATCAAAGCTGGGGGCTGAGGTAAAGCTCAGTGGTAAAGCATTCATTCACCTAACACATGCAAAGCCCTGGGTTCAATTCCTAACACCATATGTTAAAAAAAAAAAAAAAAAAAAAAAAAATCAAAGGAAAAGAAGAATTTTTTATACTACTTTTGCAACTTCTTGTGAGTCTATAATTATTTCAAAATAAAAAGTAAGTGCTGGAGATGTAGCTCTGTGGTAGAGCATAGTATGCACAACGCCTGGGTTCAAGATTTAGGACTGCAAAAAAAAAAAAAGTGGGGGGGGCGGTAAAAAATGAAGCCTCTATCCTCCAAGGATCATAGACTAGTATAAGAGATAAACATACTCATAAATAATTGTAATACAGTTCATGAATGAAAAAGTGCTATAAGCATTTAGAAGGGAAGAAATTTTTGTGTGTGTTTGGGGGGGGGAGGTACTGAGGATTGAACCCAGCCAGGGGTGCTATGCCAATGGGCTGCAACCCCAGCCCTTTTTTATGTTGAGACAGGATCTCACCAAGTTGCTTAGGGCATCTCTAAATTGCTCAGGCTGGCTTTAAACGTGTGATCCTCCTGCCTCAACTTCCTGAGCCACTGGGATTACAGGCATGTGCCATTGCACCCAGCTGAGAAGGGAAGGAATTCTAATAGCAAAAATTTTTTGAAAGATGATGAATTTCAGCTGGTCTGATAAGCGGAGAAGGATGGAAAGGAATTTCAGGCACAAGAAATAGTGTGAAGAGTGCCTTGAAACTGAGAGGGCCTGAGATAAGTTCAAAATCCATCAAGTGAAGCTGGTATGTTAACAACACATGAGCTAGGTTGCAAAGCTCATATTCTTATCCTTTGCAATCAGCTAATCCTAGCAGGAGGAACAGGAGTGGGTAGCACTGCTCTTGGTTGTAGTGTTCTTTTAGACAACACCACACAGTTAATTTGGGAACTGGAGTAGTCTCTAACTTTTGGCGGGGGGGTGGGGTGGGGTGGGGGTGGGGGTGCTAAGCATGTGCTCTACCACTGAGCTATACCCACAGTCCTTTTTAATTTTTGAGACAGAGTCTTGCTAAGTTGTCCAGGCTGGCCTTGAACTTGAGATCCTCCTGCCTCAGCCACCTGAACAGTAGGCATTATAGGCTTTCACCACCATATCCAACTACCTATAATTTTTTTGAATGCTATCTGTATAGTAGTACCCGCCCCAGAAAGATAGATGCTCAAAAAGATGATCAATGAAGGAACAATATGCTAATACCTTTGACAAAGGTCATGAAAACAGAAAATTTTAATAAAAAGGTCAAATGTTTAACAAGATGAACTACAGAAATATGAGGATTTAGAAGGATTCTACCTCAGAATATAGAGGTAAGGAATCTCTTCATCAAGCTAACCTAGGGGACACAACCTACCTATTTGGAAACTGAGAGGGCCGTGATTTTACTGAGATAAAAGACACGGAAGAATGAAGAGGAGGTTCAAGAGGCAATTCAGCATAATGGTTAAGAAAGAACATGGGCTTTGCAATCAGCTAATCCTAAATTCAAATCCTAATATTACCATTTATTAATAAGGGGAAGATAATTTATGTCTCTGAGAACTGGCTTTTGATCTTATTATATGAAGATAATACAATTTCAAAAGATTATTCTGAGGGTTAAATGAGATAACATGAGTTTAACAACTCAGCATAGCTCTTGTCACACACTAAATTCAGCAGCTTTAAGTATTAATATTAATGCTAAAAAATTATCTCAAAGACCAAGTTGTCAGGATTTGAAAATAAAATCCTTGGAAGAGCTTTGGAGCCATATCATAATTTAAAATCCAACTCTGCCATTTCCTACCTGTAAGATGTTGAACAATTTATTTAACTCTCTAATCTTCTGTTTCTTTATCAATAAATATATTATTTAATGTTATATTGAAAATTAAAGGAATTAATGTGCATGTGGTTGGTACATATTAAAGTGCCTCAATAAAAGCTTGTATTGCTATATTAACTATTATTAAGACTCATATCTGTACGGCAAATTATTCAATTGAGGTTTGAGATTATGAGAGTACAATGAGAAAAATGGAAGAAAAATGAAATTCTGAAATTGGTGAGCAATAAAGACATTAACAGAGAAAAGGGCTAGCAAAAGTTATAATGAAGGGGAAAAAACAATAGGGGAAATAAGGTCATACTTTAACGTAAAAAAATGTTTGAAGATGTTCAGTGTTATCTCATGTTACAAAGATGATGAGCAGCAAGAGGATGAAGTTTCTGAATTTAACAATTCGGGCTGGTAAACTCACTTCTTAGCTATTCAGCTGAATGGTTTTCTTATTCTTTTATTAAAATTGCTTTCTTGGGAGGGGAGGGGGGATAGTAGAGGATAGGAAAGGTAGCAGAATACAACAGTTACTAATATGGCATTATGTAAAAATGTGGATGTGTAACCGATGTGATTCTGCAATCTGTATTTGGGGTAAAAATGGGAGTTCATAACCCACTTGAATCTAATGTATGAAATATGATATGTCAAGAGCTTTGTAATGTTTTGAACAACCAATAAAAAAAAAAATTGCTTTCTTGGGGCTGGGGTTGGGGCTCAGTGGCAGAGCACTTGCCTAGCATATGTGAGGCACTAGGTTCAATCCTTAGCACCACATACAAAAAATAAGTAAATAAAAGCAAATTTTAAAAATTACTTTCTTGGAGCAAGTATAGTTTACTTTCTCAAGAAAGATGAAAAGAGAACTATTCTGCCCAAAATAGATACAGAGGTTATATCAATCTAGAGACTCATGCCTAGAAAAATTGTGGTTTCAGCTCATGCTTCACCTTTAATTGAACCTGCTATCACTTCAAGAATGCAAGAATGAACAAACAAACAAAGTGGCAAAAAAGCAGAGAACAATTATACTTCCTCAGATGGTCATCTGGGTTCAGTGTTTGTTTTGGCAACAGACTAGCACATGCTTGAAAAATCACGTGGCCTGGAAAATCACCCTTAGATTCTTAGACTAAGAATCAAGGAATCTTTATTTTGCTCCCTTGACACCAATATGCTGTTTGACCTGGAACAAGTTACTTTCCATTCTAGTTCGCATGATGTGAAGTTCTCTCAAGAAAGTAAACTCCTTAGAAGTCGCGGATTACATCTTTTGTATTTTTCCCCACTTTGCCCTATTTAGTGTTCTGTATGGTTTGTGCCACTCAATGTTACTGTCCAAAATACAAGAGGTGCAGTGTTCAGAAAAATCTGAAAACAGACTGATTTTATCCATATCTCCTCACATTGTTCCTGAGAAGGTCTTATATCTCTTCCTACCATTAGGTTCCTAGAGGCAGAAATCAATACTATCTACTCCTCACATACAGATAAACTTTGATAAGTCACTGTATGAATCAGAAAGCACTGCAAGGCATTTGAAAAAAGAAATCACATCTTCAGAGTTCTAGCAATAATTCTACCCCTTCACTTCTATTCCCACTTGAGTCTTTCCTGAGGATAAGCAAGCAAGTGCTCAGCCCAGGGTTGCACACACCTGTGTGGATGCGCCGGTGGTTCTTCAGGTTTCCAGCTGTAGTGAACTGTTTACCACAGCTGGATTCAGGGCACATAAAAGGCTTTTCCCCATTGTGGGTCCTCATGTGCACCTTTAGCCTCTGCAGCACATAGAAGCTTTTCCCACAACCTTCTGCAGGGCAGATGAAGGAGCGGTCATTTCTGCAAAATTAATTATATAAACAACAACACCTGGAAATACTCTTTACTAGAGATGACAAGTCAAAATTTCTATTGACTCTCAAGGCAGACATTAAACTCCAAACCTGAATATTTCAGACTTAACCTGAAAAGACTGTTAAAATTGCAGATGCCCAACTTCCTCCCAATACTAATTTCCTAGGTTTAGGGTAGGAGCTGAGATTTACGTATTATATTTTAAATTCTCAAACTATGTTTTATAATGAGATTTGAGAATTCATACTTTTTTTTTTTTAAGAGAGAATTTTAATATTTTATTTTTTAGTTTTCGGCAGACACAACATCTTTGTTTGTATGTGGTGCTGAGGATCGAACCCGGGCCGCACGCATGCCAGGCGAGCGCGCTACCGCTTGAGCCACATCCCCAGCCCTGAGAATTCATACTTTTAAGATATTCAGGTAACAATCTTATTTACATATTTATTAGGAAAAAGGTAAATTAAACAATGCAAATCTTTCTTTAAAAAAAAACAAGGGGCTGGGTTTGTGGCTCATCAGTAGAGCACTTGCCTCATATGTGTGAGACACTGGGTTTGATCCTCAGTACCACATAAAAATAAATAAACAAAATCAAGGTATTGGGTCCATCTACAACTTAAAATATATATGTATATACATATTGTGTGTGTGTGTATGTGTGTGTGTGTGTGTGTGTGTGTGTATAAGTTAGCTGGAGTCCCTGCTTCAATTTGTCAATTCCTTTAATTTATTAATTCAGGGAACAAGTTGCTCTAAAAGCATTAGTGTTCTTAAGCTCCAAATATGAGACCTCAGAATTGCTCACCGATGAGTTTTGAGGTGGTACTTGAAGTGAGCTGGCCACACAAATGTCCGGTCACAACCTTCAACTGTACACTTGAGCTTCTTTTCCACTTGGGGAAGTGGTCCAGAATCTTTGGGTTGTCCATCACCAGAACCAAGGTGGACATTTTCTCCTGTAACAGAATCATGTATTTACAACCCAGGGAAGGACCCTGCTCCAATACTGAGGTTCAAATAATAGAACTCATATATTTAACTCCTAGTGATATTTTTTTTTTTGGGGGGGGGGGGTACTAGGGATTGAACCCAGGGATGCTTAACAACTGAGCCATAGCCACATTCCCAGCTCTTTTTACTTTTTTTATTTTGAAATGGGGTCTTGCTAAGTCGCTTAGGGCCTTGCTAAGTTGCTAAGGCTGGCCTCAAACTTGTGATCCTCCCGCCAAGGACTCACTGGAATTACAGGCATGCCCCATTACACCAAGCTTCTAATGATAATTAATCAGATATCTATCTTCGTCTTCTCCACTTCTTTTTTTTTTTTTTTAATATTTATTTTTTAGTTATCGGCGAATACAACATCTTTGTTTTGTATGTGGTGCTGAGGATCGAACCCGGGCCGCACGCATGCCAGGCGAGCGCGCTACCACTTGAGCCACATCCCCAGCCCCTCTCCACTTCTTCTGTACCTGTTTTAGAACAGAAATGAGGGTGTTCTACATCCTCTTCCCCTTATTCCAGAGAACTACTGACAGCTACCATGTTTTGTTTCACAAAACAGGGCCTCTTTGACAAATGTAGAAAATATCCAAAATGGTTTCCTATCAGAAATCTCAAAATGTAGAATTAAACCTCTTTTTTATTATATACATTGGTGGGGAAACAAGAAGATCAACACCCAAAGTGGGATGCTATAGAAAAGGCTTAAAAGTTCTGGGCTAGGTAATAGCCAGGGACAGTGGTGCACATCTATAATCCCAGCAACTCAGCGGGCTGAGGCAGGAGGATTATGAGTTCAAAGCCAGTCTCAGCAACTTATTGAGACTCCATCTCTAAATAAAAATATAAAAACAGGGGCTGGGGATGTGGCTCAAGCAGTAGCGCGCTCGTCTGGCATGCGTGAGGCCCGGGTTCGATCCTTAGCACCGCATACAACATGATATATTCATCATACAACATGATGTTGTGTCCACCGAAAACTAAAAAAAAAAAAAAAAAAAAAAAAAAATATAAAAACAGGCTGGGTATGTGGCTTAGTGGTTAAGCATCCCTGGATTCTATCCCTGGTACTGAAAAAAGTTAGAGATAATATCTACTGGCATAATGCTTAATAGAATAAAAGGAGGTGAGTGGTAAAATGTGCCTTGATTTGTTTTAAATGAAAATAGTTCATTAAAAACTTGTATAAATTCCACATTAGTAGACATTATTCCTTTTACTTCATCATCTTCAAAACACAGTTGGAAGCTGGGAGGATGGTGCACACCTGTAATCCCAGCCACTTGGGAAACTGAGGCAAGAAGATCAGAAGTTCTAGGTCAGCCTTGACAACTTAATGAGACTGTTTCAAAATAAAAAATAAAAAGGGCCAGGTATAAACCTGTGAGTTTAATTCCTACTACCACACACACACACACACACACACACACACAAAAGATTTCAGTGCTAAAGCTTGGTTTGTGATAACGACAATGCTGAATCATGTCGTCCTAATATCTGTCACAGGTTTATGAGAAAAAACAGAGTCAGACCTAAAACAAAAAGATTAATGGCATGTTACATAAGCAAAGATTTTATGCCTTTTGGTAGTGTTTTGAATATATCCATGGTTCTCAAGCTTTAACATGCATCAGAACCAAGTTTCTGATATAATAGGCCTGGAATGGGGCCTGAGAGTTTGTATTTTTAAGTTGCCAGGTAATGCCAATGATCAAGGGTCAATGTTTTTTTTTTTTTTTTTTTTTTTTTTTTTTTTAAATATTTATTTATTTATTTTTCGGTGGACACAACATCTTTGTTTGTATGTGGTGCTGAGGATCGAACCCGGGCTGCACGCATGCCAGGCGAGCGCACTACCACTTGAGCCACATCCCCAGCCCCAAGGGTCAATGTTTTGAAAATTACTGGAGAAAATGGCACAAATTGCAGGCATGCCTAACTTAAAAAAAAAAAAAGCATGAAATCCATCATACCTAATTGTAAAATTGCCATGAGCAGCCATTTAGTTTTAATAAAACATCATCATCTGCCACACTGACTTAATATTAATCTTGTTTTATTGGTTTTATAGTTTTGCTAATGGATGAAACTTTTGATTTCACAGTGGTGTAAGAGCTCTAAAAGCTTACACAGAACTTTTGTTTTTACATATTTAAAAACATTATAATAAAAACAATTGAATATAAATTCAGTATTCCCCCCCCCCTTTAAAATGTGTTCTCTTAGTACTGAGGGTGTAGCTCAATGGTGAAGTGCTTTGCCTAGCGTGCACAGGCCCTAGGTTCAATTCCTAGTACTGAGGAGAAAAAAATTGGTGGTCTGCTGACAGCCTGCCCAGGGAAATAGTTTTTGAAATACAGGACTTTTTTGCTAATGGGAATGGAAACTGTATGGAGGCAAGGAACCTATATGATATCCCCAAGGTTCTGTCCCAGCCTGAGTGGCCTGAAGTTTCATCTGACATCTGGCCTCTTTTAAGAGCAAAACAAGCAAGCCTACCACAGAAAGAGGCTCTGATGGAAGAGTTTGCAACAAAGACAGAGGGGCAACAGATTCCTCAAGATTCCAGAGGTAAGAGGGAAGAAAGGAGTCTTAAGTGGACTCAAGACTTCCTAGAAAAATGTCACTAAGCCAGGAAGGCAAAAATATATTGTCTGGGAACCATAGGTTCAGAAACCTCCTGGCTTTTGGCAAGAGTTGGGAGACAGACTATGAAGCCTCAGAGGAAAAAAAAAAAAAAAAAGCCTCAGAAAAGTTGTTCCCAAAGCCTCCAAGCTGAGTCCCCTTCCTTCCCCTCTCCAGCACTGGGCCCCATCTGGGAAGGAGGCATATCTGCCCTTCCTTCAGTGTCTGAACAGCATCTACTTGGCAGCTCTCTCCAGACCCCTGATGTTTTAGGCCTTCAAACTCTTGACATATGGATGTTACTATCTACCTCCAGCTCTGTGTGGGACCCAGGGTTCTTCAGTAACCCATCACCTCACATTAGGGCTCCAGCACATTCCCTGTCCAGTTTCTCCCTTGCTCAGAGAACCCAGGTCACAACTCCTCAAAGCTTCCATACTACCCTTCCTGTAGGTTCTAAGGTCTCCACAGCCCCAGGGCACTCACTTTTGTTCAATGAGTTCTACTAGACAGGCTCTGGGCTTGAGTCCAGACATCAGCCCCCTAAAACCCAGCAGAAGGGCCCTAACTTGCACCTGCTGATCTATAATGAGGGAAGCCCATGACCCTGTCAAGGCCCAGAGATGGGGCATTAACTCCCCTCCCCTAAAGTTGCTTTACCCCAAGGATACATACTGCTTTGACTGCCCGGCTGTTCTGTGAGATCAACCTAGCAGGTGACTAAGGTTTCAAGTTCCCACACTAACTTCCTGCTCTGCCTGCTCTCCTGCTTCAGATTGCTAGGCCCCTGGAGGTGTCTGCAGACTCGCTATGCACCCCAGCACACACACCAGCAACTCTACAATTGTGTAATGGCCTAAGTAGGGACTGAAGGATGTAGGGTCTGGATAGGAGTAGCATAGGCACTATGCAAGGAAATAAGGAAGGAGTTGCTGAGCTGAAACCCCAGACTCACCAGGGTTGAGGGCAAGTGACTTTACTACTCCTGAGCCTAGGCTGGGTGGTGATGGTGGTATGGGTTTAAGAAAAATTGCTCTGTATATTATCTGAAGTAGAGAATTAAAAATACTAGTTTAGTTGATTCTGCACACAAATCTGGCATGGCCAAGTTATCTCACAGAAAATAAGACAAGCAATTTACACATTTCTAGCCTTCCATTCTCATTAATAAAATAACTTGGATTATATACAACTCAAAATATAGCCCTTACATTACCAATCTCTTTGCATAGAATAGTGGCGAAGAAAATGCCATGGGAGTCTCACCATTGCTGCTGGTTTTTGCACTCTTTGCTAGTTGTGCACGAGTAGCAGCAATCAAACTGTCATGGGCCAACTCCTGAACCCGGAGGAACCATGGAATGCTACTGTCCGTGCTCTCACTGGAGAGGAAATCATTCCCTGAATCCTCTGCCTCATCTTGTACAAACACTAAGTGCTCAGCTGAAGAGCCCAGACCTGGAGAACAAAAGGACATATGAAGGTTAGTCAACAAGTAATCCTTCTGTTTGCCCTGGCCCAGAAACTCTGTATCCTGAACCAGCTATTGGAGGTCTTTGCTTCTTACCTCAAGCTTCTGTGCTCACAGATGATTAGGCTATCACTTTCCTATTCTCAGGCCACAGGCTTATTGTTACCTTGCCTCCTCCTGTTTCAGAGGCAAAACTGTTCTTCCTGGCAACCAGGCTAACCCCCACCTCTAATATTCCAACCCCACACTTCAGTCATCCTTTTCTGTATCCTTCCATTTTTGTTCTCTCCCATTTCCATCCTATTCCTCTCTACTGGACAGCTTTTCCTTCTAGCCTTTAAATGTGTTCTAACTCAAGTTTCTCCCATCTTTATTCTTTAAAATAATAGAAAACCTTAAGTGCTTTTCTAGTTATTACCTGTTTCTTCAAAGTCAAGTTTTGTGAACAAGTGTACCCTCTAACTTGTGCATCCACTTTCTCACCTTCCATCTACTCCCCATCTCTTTAATTCTGTCCTCTACACCCACACTATCCCAATAACAACTGCTCTTGCCAAAATATTCAGATATATACTTCATCTCACTAGCCCATCCTATAGTATTTGGAATGATTTAGTATATTTTCTCCCTTAAAACTTCCCTACCTTGGTTTCCCACCCACTATTCTCTCTCAGTTCTCTTCATCCCCTTCCAGCTGTTCTTTCAAGTTCTTCTTGTTGCCCTCTTAAATGTGTGGGCTTTTCCCTCACAAGGTTCCAGGCTTGCCTTTTTTTCTGTTCATGCATCAATCTTCTCTTGAATCAAAGAGAAAATTGTTTCATACATTTCCTGAATGCTAATCAACACCTAAACTACTTATTTCATATGAGACCTCTCTAGAACTCTGGATTCCTGTGTCTTTTTTTTTTTTTTTAAAGAGAGAGAGAGAGAGTTTTTCAATATTTATTTTTTAGTTTTCGGCGGACACAACATCTTTGTTTGTATGTGGTGCTGAGGATCGAACCCGGGCCGCACGCATGCCAGGCGAGCGCGCTACCGCTTGAGCCACATCCCCAGCCCGTGTGTCTAACTTTCTGAAGAAAACTTCCTCCTAATGTTCCTTCAAAATCTCAACTTCAGGGTCTGGAGTTGTAGCTCAGTGGTAGAGCACTGCCTAGCAAGTGTGAGGCACTGGGTTCAATCTTCAGCACCACATAAAAATAAATAAAATAAAAGTATCGTGTCCATCTACAAGTAAAAAAAATTTTTTTTTTAAATCTCAACTTCGGGCTGGGGATGTGGCTCAAGCGGTAGCGAGCTCGCCCGGCATGCACGGGGCGCTGGGTTCGATCATCAACACCACATAAAATAAAGATGTTGTGTCCACCGAAAACTGAAAAATAAATATTAAAAAAATTCTCTCTCTCTCTCTCTCTCTCTCTCTTTAAAAAAAAAAAAATCTCAACTTCAACAGACATAAATTGGAACTTATCATCCTACCCCACACCCTGTTCTTCCTATGCTCAACTGTATCAGTAAATGGCACCATCTAATTTCCCAAACGAGATATGTTTAAATCATCCTAGAATCCTCTCTCTTGTTCTACATGTTCATTTTGTCACCAGACTATGAAATTTCTGAAAAATAATAAAGCTTCTAGTGAAATATGTCCCAACTCCAATTTTTTCATAAGTATGAGAAAAGTTCAGAAAAAGATAAAGAATACCTGCTCTTGTTAGGTTAAGAAGAATAAAAGAAGTGCTATCACTTGGCTGTAGATCTTGCAACAAACTAGGAGACTCTGGAGTAGACAAAAACTCTGGGGACTTCTGTACAGTCTGAGCCCTCGTCTCCTCTCCGTCTGGGCCCACATTCACCTGAAGGCTTCTCAGTACAGCTGATGAAGGGACCTCCTTGGGGGAGTTAGTATGATTTGGAGCATCATCTAGTAAAAGGAAAACACAGCATTACCTCCAAGGAGATCATCATTTTGAAACAGTGTCTAATACCTGTGTAACATCTCTTAGTATCTAGCACCCTATAAAAACAGTGTTCTCATTTTACAAATACAAAACTTGCCTCAGAGAAAAACAGAGATGACTTTAAAGGTAATCAGACAAAATGTGAGAAACAGATTTCTCTTGACACCTGACATAGCTAATAGCCAATAATCTGCATTTGGACATTACAGAACTTAGTCCTTTTTGAAGTCAGAAATCAGAACTTTTTCCTTAAAAAAAAAAAAAAAAGCTACATTATGAATGTTAAGGGAGGATCTAAATTTTAAACCTTTTTCTTAAAAGTTTAACTTTTTAGTTCACTTTTATAACATGTACACGACAGTTCTGGTGGATAATTAAAAGGGGGAAAAACAGCCTTGGAATCAAAAGAAATCTCACAAATTTATTAATATGTTTCATTATATAATTCTGGGTTTATACTGAATGTAAAGAAATAATTCAGGGCTGGGGGTGTAACTCAGTAGTAGTGATTGCCTAGCATGCACAATGCCCTGGGTTCAATTCCCAATACCTTTAAGAGAAATTTTTTTTCTTTAAATTCAGATTTGACCTCAAGAACTTCATTCTATCTGGATACAGTGGCACCCACCTATAATCCCAGTTACTCAGGAGGCTGAGGCGGGAGGATTGCAAGTTCAAGGCCAGACTGAGCAACTTAGAGAGATCTTATCTCAAAATAAAATTTTAAAAAGGGCTGGGGTATAAATTCAGTTATAGAGCACTTGCCTAACATATGCAAGGCCTGGGTTCAATTCTCAGTACCGAGGAGGTGGGGGTGGGGAACACACATACATGACATTTTGTTCTAAGTGATAGAAAAGAATTTCCAAAGGTTTTGGTTGCAATATAATGAGGAAACTGCACTTCAACACTGAAGTATCCAATATTTTCAGAGGTTTTAACATTTTTTAAAAAGGCATGTATCACTTCTTCCTCTTTTAAGTAGGTAACAAGATTATAGAAATAAGTTGGGCACATGCCAAAATCCCAGCAACATGGGAGGCTGAGGAAGGATGATAACGAGTTTGAGGCCTGCCTCAGCAACTTAGTGAGGTCCTCAGCAACTTAGAAAGACCCTGTCTCAAAATAAAAAATAGAAAGGGCTGGGATGTGGTTCAATGTACCTAGGTTCGATCCCTAGTACCAACAAAATGAAACAAAACAAAAATAAAAGTGAACAATATGGGGGCTGGGGTTATGGCTCAGCGGTAGAGAGCTTGCCTTGCATGTGCATGGCCCTGGGTTTGATCCTCAGCACCACATAAAAATAAATTAATTAATTAAATAAAGTTATTAAAAAAAAAAGTGGATATATGTCCATTTTCATTAGGCTTTGGCTTAATAAAGCTGCACAATAACGTGAATATACTTACACACAAAGATAAAAATCTTAAAAGTTCATAGTAGTTCTGTTTGTCATATTACAACATTAAGTAATAAATATTCGTCAACAAGTGGCATGGATAAGGAGTTGTGGTATACTTTATATAACAATACCATACAGCAATGTAACTAAACAAACCATAGCTACACACAATAAGGATAAACTTCACAAATATAAACTAAAGGAAGGAAGGTACAAAAACATACAGATCATATGATTCCATTCATTTAAGGTCCAAAACCAATTAAGATTATACCACATTGCTTAGAGATATATAAATGGGTGGGTAAATTTGGAAAACAAAGAAATGATTATCACAAAAGTGAGAGGACACTGGCATTCTTACAAAAGAATGTTGTTATCTTTATAGGGGAAAAGCCTAAGTAGGAGCCAGGCAATGGCACACTCCTGTAATTTCATGGACTCAAAAGAGGCTGAGGTAGGAGGATCCCAAGCTCAAGGCCAACCTTAGCAAATTAGAGCCACTCTATCTAGAAAAAAAGGGAATGTAGTTCACTGGTAGACTGTGTCCAATCCCTAATATTGCAAGGGGAAAAAAAAAAATCGAAGAATACCACCAAAGGACATTAACTAGAAGAGTTTTTAACAAACTACTTAAGTTGTCAAACAAGCTAATGTTTACTCTCCCTGATAAAACACTAACACTCCAAATTTTAAAACAAAGATCAGAGTATAAGGAATTTACTACATCCAAAAATAATATTCTCCTTGCCAATAATCAATTGACTCCCATCCAAACCTTATCTCCCTACCTGTGCTCAGCATTCTATTTCCTTTTACTTCTCCTGAAGCATCCTCACCAACATCCTACTATTTCTGTCTCAGTTTCCCTAAAACAACCCCCAAATATCTCAGATCTAAAAACAAAAACTAACAAACAAAACCCCTAATTTCCACCTACCTTACCTTTTTTCCTTCTCGTAGCAGAACAGTCTTGAGAAAATACCACTAGTTACTTCCACAATTATGTTGGACTTACTTTGCATTGATACCTCAATCTACAGCCACTTGGTTGTCCACCCACTTCACTCTGTGGACAACCAAGTTCAGGATGGATTCTTTTTAGACTCTATCTTCTCTGGGCCCCTTAGGAGCATTTGATATTGACTTCCCTTGTGTTCCACACTTCCACTCTATATTGATATTCATCCTACTTCTATACCCTACTTTATACCCCTTACCACCTGTTCAGATTCTTTTGTCTTATCCTATTCCTTCCAGAGTTCTGCCTTGACCTTTCCCCCCCCCCCCCACTGTCACACTGAATCATGATAGCAGCCATTCCTGTGGCTTAAACAACTGATACACTTATGACTTTCATGGTTACTTTTTCTCTATGACCAGTCAATTGTAAAGTCAGTTATCCATTCCATCAGATACCATAAAGTAAGCTAAGCTCTTGGGACTTCTTTATCCTATCTCTGGTGATCTTTGTTTTTACCTGATAACATTAGCCGACTGCATTCTGAGGCCTCGGTCACCGGAAGTAGGGATAAGCAAGTAATGTCTTTAGCTTCTGATTCTACTAGTCCCTGTCCCAATGGGATGGAGGTATTCTGAACAAACTGTACCAGGAGCTGAGGGGGGAAAAAAGGCAACACTAAGATACAGAGGTTATTAGGAATGGATCTAAACCTCTGAGTTTATGAAAAGGTAATGATGAAGTCTTGACTGCACTAGGTTTAGACATTCAAAGAAAAACTAGATTGTTATTTCATCAATGTTCATTGTTATTTATATAACTAAACCAACCCCATCACTTTCCAAATAGAAAATATAAAAATAATTTTAAAATGAAGGACTACTTAAAAAAAAAAATCAACCACACCACACTGATTACATCTTACAAAGCATTTTTCTGTGTACATTTAACCTTCACATTAAATTGGCTAGGACTGAATATGTATTTTACAAAGAAGAATCAAGATGAGGACATTAGTGTCTTATCTAAGATCACATGACTAGCTAGCAGTGCCAATCTTTGAACTTAAGTAATCAGATTCACTAAAATTAAAGTGAGAAAAATGAATGAAAATAAAATGCTTATTTTTATTAAATACATTTATTAAAATATAATGCTTAGCCAGACATGGTGATGCATTTCTGTAATCCCAGCTGAGGCAGGAAGATTAAAAATTAGAGGCCAGCCTGGAAAACTTAGAGCTAACAATGTGGCTCAGTGGTAGAGCACTTGCCTAGCATGTGTGAGGCTGTCAGTTTAAGACCAAGTACCACACATACACACAAACCAAAGAAAAAGATACCCAATGTGTTCAGAAATAAAATATTTTCTGATATATACAAAATTATTACAAGAATGGTTTGTGGTAGAAAATATTTATATACATATACACATACACATTACTTATGTTACATGGCATACTCTCGCCATATATTTATATATAAAATATTTTGTCATTATATAACTATCCAAATAATTTTACACTTCCTTAAACAACGACCAAAAAAAAAAAAAAAATCACAAAAGACAAAAAAATTTTGAGAAAATACTTAGTAATGAAAAAATAATAAATTAATACTTACAATCAAATCCATTTGGTTCACAAAACCTAAAATATTTAATATTTACTATCAGGTCTTTATAGAAAAAGTTTACTGATCCCTGAACTAATAATGATAAACTCTGAAATACAACCCACCAAAAGAAAAGGAAACAAGCTGAGTAGGCTCACCTCTGGTTTGGATTCTAACTCATCCGATAACATTGATTCAGCTTCCAAAATCCTGTAGCTGTTTAGGGAACAGGTTCAAAATTAATTCAGAGTCAATGACACCTTCCCGTTATGCTCATGTTCCTTTAGGAAACACTATGCTCTTTCTATAAGATGCTGAACTAAGTTGATAATCAATTTATCCTAAAATAGGGATAAAAAAGAGAGAGACAGCATTAAGAACAGTGAGAAAATACAGCTAAATAAGTAAAATATCCAAAAATCATAACAAACAAAGAATTCAGCTCCAATTCCTTGTTTTAAAATAGAACAAGTGAACTAGGTATCAAAATCCAAAATGATGTTTATGTTTCTACTTCTAAAATCAATTCTAAGGAAAGAACTTAACTACAGAAAAAGCTAGAGCCGGGCACAGTGGCACATACTTTTAATTCCAGCTACTTAGGAGGTTAAGGCAGGAGGAATCATAAGTTAGAGAACAACCTCAGCAACTTAGTTGGACCCTGTTTCCAAAAAAAAAAAAAAAAGGATCGGGTATAGTTTAGTAGTGATGCATTCCCAGGTTCGATCTCCAGTACAGGGGGAAAAAAGAGGAAAAAACTCAAAGATGTTCACAAATATGTGACAAACTGGAAGCAACATGTAAACACACATATATATCCAACAATTAAGGAATTGTTGATTAAGTATGGCACCGTCACTTCAAAATAAGGTTATGAAGACACTTCGGCAACAAAGAAAAATTATTACATTAAATTATAAAAATAGGGCTGAGGTTGTGGCTCAGTGGTAGAGCGCTGGCCTAGCATGTGTGAGGCACTGGGTTCAATTCTCAGTACCACATATAAATTAATAAATAAAGATCCATCAACAACTAAAAAATATGTTTAAAAAAAAATAAACTATAAAAATAAAATGATTATATTTGCATTTTTAAAACTAGTTATGATAGGCACAGAACAAAGTCAAAGGAAATTCACACAGGTATGATAGTAGTTAATATTGTATGGTAGGTTGGTGTGACTTATTTTTCTTTTCTTGATTTTCCAAGTTTTCTAAAATGTAATTATATTGTATTGATAATTTTTAAAAATACATTAAAAAATAGTCAAAAGTGGATGTGTAGCTCAGAAGTAGAGCACTTACCTAGCATTCATGAAGCCCTGGGATCAATCTACAGTACTGCACAGGGAAAAAAATGACAAAATTTGAATAGTGTTTCCCAGATGTAGTGTTCTTGGAACCCTGATGCAGCTGTTTTCTCCCTGTAATTTAAATTCTTTCTTTCTTCTTCTCCCCCTACCCCCACCTTTTCTTTCATTTTTGGGCTAGGGATTAAATCCCAAGGCCTTGTGTATACTACGCAATCAACCACTGAGTTACTCCCCCAGCCCAAAATTCTTACTTTCTTACAGCTTAATTTTTCCCCTAGGAATCTGTCATGTGAGTCCTTTATTTGTTGCCAAAATTGGGAACACTGTGTAATCATACATATAAAATGTACCTAGGATGAAGTTTTCCATTAATACCAGGGTTGGCTAGATAGTTACAATAAGACAGACTTTACAAAAAGGGCATTTAGAAGTAATGGAATAAATATTTGTTTGTTGGTTTCTTCTCCCTCTTTCCAGCTGTCTGAGATTCTCATTTTTCATTGTAAAGGAATAACAATTTACAAGATATAATGAAAACAATCCTTTTAAGTTTTTCACCTGAAGTATTATAAATCCCTGACTTTTCTATCCACATACATTTTTCTCACTCAAGCACTACAACAACATAATAATTTATCCATTCATCTTTTTAGAAAGAAAGAAATTAAGGCTCAATAAATCATTTGCCCAAGTTATTAAGCTGCAAAGCCAGGACTCCTACCCACAGAGCAGGTTGGCATAAATAGTTGAATGAATAGTGATTACATCTCTCTAATTTGTAAGACCAAAGAATTCCTTTACCGCAATTCCAGCTCACTCTCAACAAGCCAAGAAATTACCAGATGTTTGTTTAGGTTATCCTTAAAGTTCCTCCAACTTTGAGATTCCATGATTGTAAAATCTCCAGGAAACCATACAACTATTTTCTGACCTTTATATGTTAACAATGATATTTTTTAGTGTTTTTAATCTAATAATAATACTTAAAAATTAACAAAAACATTTCCTGAAACAACTGGATATCCATATCATAACTGAGTACTACCCTACAATTTTGGTGGCCAAGTTTATGGTTTGTGTGTGTACTGTATGATAAAATAAAGAAAAGAAGGCACTAGAATAGGCAAGCTGGATTCAAAATAATCACTACAAGAGTACCTTATCAGGTGTACTAGGTAAACCTCTTCTTTAACACAGAACTTACTAAGTATATTAGCTGGTAGTATAGTGACAAATATGCAATTACCTTTGTTTCTACCAATTCCAATACCCATTTAACAAATTTCAAAAACTGTAATGCAAATCTTTTAAGAAAATAAGTTTCACTGAGAGTTCACAGAATATACAATTCACCCATTTTAAAGAGTACTATTAGATTGTCTTTGTCTTTAGTATATTCACAGTTGTGTAACCATACCACAAATTTACATTTTGATCACCCAAAAAGATACCCCGAAGTCACTTCCCATTTTCATGTTGTCTTTACTATGAGTTTAAAGGGATTCCATACAAGCATTCCTATAAGCAGATAGTAAGTACTGAATAAATATTTGTATATGAATGAATGACCTTTCTTCTGAACTCCAAATCTTCATTTCTAACTGCTTGCTGGGTATTTCTATATATAATTGCAACAGCATCTCAAACCTAACAATGTACAAAATCCAGATTATCATCTCCCCTAAACTTGTTCTTCCTGTTATTATCTATTTCAATTATTGCCCAATTTTCTTCCTACTCAGCTGCAAATTCTAGATCTTTAATAATAATCTCACATTCTCTATATTTAAATAATCCCAGTAATTCTGAGTCCCCCAAATTTATTCCTACTGCAATGCCTTATTTAGTCTCTTTCAACTACACTATTAAATAGGCTTCTACCTGGTCACCTGGCCTTTAAAATTCCCCTTTCCAACCCATGTTTATGCAACCAATCTAGTTATCCTTCCAAAACACAAAAATGCTTATGTCAACCCCCTTTACTCAGTTGTATGCCTCAAAATAATGGTCAAACTCTAACGGTAAATCTCTTCATTTAGAGATAACCTCCCCACCCCCGCCAAAGCTAGAGACTGAGTAATTCACCCCCACACCCACCCCAAAGTTTGACATCTACTTGAATGCAAAGCTTAAACTAGAACTCAAATCTAACAGACAGCAAGTTTAGTTGCCTTTTATTCTACCTCACACTAAGATAATACAAAGAGGAATTTCTCACAGCCTAAACAACAACAAAAAAGCTGTCTTTATTTTAAAGTATTTCTTTTACTCTCTTTGCAAATATGCTGTGTTGACCCTGTTGCAAAGTGAGGAGTATATACGAATTCTTAATCCCCAAGTTAATAATATTTAACTTCCAAATGGTAACTAAGTCCTTTTCAGCGCCTCACGAGCAAGTTGAATAAACTTTAATAAACTATTGAGATTCTCTTGAGAAATGTCAGAGGATAAGTTCAACCGGCAAAACGCACACGGCTGTAAGTCAACAGCCAGCCTACGTGCCCGCCTGAACTGACAAGCGAAAGAGAAACCGGAGGCCCAGCCCCTCCTGTCCACAGGCGACCCTAATCAGACACAGAAAGTAAGTGGACATAGAAAAGGAGAGGGTAGCTCTGGGCAGAAACATTCGGGGTAGAATCCCCTTGGCACACCTTTCCCCCATCACAAAGGCCTAAATCTAAGGCCCCAAGGTCCGCGGGCAGGCCCCGAGTGCGGGTGCAGTCCGGGAGCCCCCGCTCCAAGAACTCGCTGACTCCGGTTTTCTCGGGACTGTCTTGTTCCTGTGTCCCTAACTCTAAACGGAAGCAAAGAAGCCAAAACATCGCCCCCCAAACCGCGAGGGGAAGGGCCGAGGCCGCAGGGCTTCAGACCGTCCACTTCTAGGATCGCCAGATCCGGGAGGGGTGTCCAGGGAGGAGAGTTTCCCTGTCCGCTCCAGGGGCGAACTCGGCCCCAGGCCTCTAGGAGCCTGTAGGGGCTCCCTCTCGTCGGGGACTACCGAGCCAAGCGAGTGCCGCCAGTCCCAACCTGAAGCTTACCTTTCCTCAGGGACAGGTTGCCGGCAGTCAATCGGTCCTGAATTCCGTCCACACAGAGTATCTTCCGGCTCCCGCCGGAAGCAGCTCGAGCGCGGGACAGGAAGTTTGGCCGCTCCCCGCCCCCGGCGCACACACGCCCACCCGTTTGGCTAGGAGCCGCGCTACTGCCACCCTTCCGAGGGCAGCAGATGAGGCTGACCCGGCTCCCAGCACAGGGCTAAGCTTCCAGCGGCGAAAGCCCAGCCCTCGGTTTCCCATTCTCTCTGGCCTTCAGGGCTCCTAGATCCGCGAAGCCCTAAAACCAGGTCAGTGTATTCTAGCCATGACGTCACTACCAACCCGCAGCTATGGAGGAGTTTCCCCCCCCCCCCCCGCCAGCTAAGGATCTATAATAGAGGGAAACGAGAAGATTGCTCCTTAAGCATTTGCCAAAGCTCTCAGTGAAGAGGCCCTTGAATCTTCACCACCCGAGAAGGAAACTTGTAGAATGAAGTTCTGCTGTGCATATGGGACGGGGAATTGAGTCTCCTGTAGAATTTTTTTTAGAGATTGTTAATTTCCCTAGAGGCTGGGTTGCAAATATTTTTAGTACGTAAAGAGCTCTTGGATGTCCTGATTGGATGTCACCACTTTATTAGAACTTTGACTTGACTGACTTCTTAAAATTACTAATTTTTTGAATATTCACTGCCATGCGGAAGAATAAAAAACAACTAAAATAGTGACTGTGGAAATTAAAGGAGTTCTCTTTAAAAAGGCATTTCAAGGTAAAAGATAAACCAGGCACATATAAATGGGTGAATGATATCTTTAGGCACACGATGTTCCAAGGAAATATAATTCCTCTTTTTGGATAAGCAGAGTTTGAAGTACCAACGGGATATTTACTTGAAGGTAAAGATCCAAAGCTCAAGTAAGAAGTCAGGAGAAGAAGTGTAGACTTGGGAGCTATCAGCGTACAGAGAAGAGATAAAACCCCTCAGAAAAGAAAATGGTAGAGGAAAAATATATAAAAGAAGACAACTGAAGTTCACTGGAGTGATTACCAACACAATTTGAATCTACTTTTACTAATTTCACATTCAAAAATACATTGGCAGCAGCGCAGCTACCCAATAAAGCTTAGGCAGGTGGAACCCAAGTTGGAGAGCTGCCTCTGCAATTTAGACCTCATCTCAGACAAAATAAAAAGGGCTGGGGATGTAGCTCAATGGTAAAGCACCCAGGGTTCAATTCCCAGTTAAATGTGTGTGTGTGTGTGTACACACTGGCAGTGTGTAAAACAGGTTACCATACACAGAAAAACATCTTCAATTTTATTGTTTCAAAGGGTTGGATACAATTAATAAAACAAACTTACTTAGAGGTGCATCAATATAGGTTTTGAACATTCATGATTACAACCATTGGTTAATTTTCCCAGTCAGTCCTGTTGTTTTCTGAAGCCGTCTTTGTTTTGATTTTGGTTGTTTTAGGTGTTCTTGTGCTGGGGACTGACCTCAAGGTCAAGCAGAGTTGTGCTACTGAGTTACACCCCCAAACCTCCTTGTTTAGTTATCTGAAATTCCCAGTAAGTTTATATCTACTTGCTCTCTAATCTTGACAACTATTTGTCAATATTTGCACACTAAACTAAGATTAACATATGCTTTTATCAATATATAAATTGGGTTTTTAGGGCTGGGGATGTGGCTCAATCGGTAGCGTGCTCGTCTGGCATGCATGCGGGGGTTCAATCCTCAGCACCACATACAAACAAAGATGTGTCCCCCGAAAAAAAAATAATAATAATAAACATTAAAATTCTCTCTCTTTAAAAAAAAATAAAATAAATTGGGTTTTTAGACAGTATAGTGAATTATTTGGCAAAACATTAATAGATAATCCTTTGGATTAAATCCTGATCTCTGGGTCTCTCAAACCAAATAACTTCAGCCATTTATTTTCTCATATCACTCCCAACCCCAAACCTCTGTTTTCCTTTTGCAAAAACTGTTCCACAAGCTCTGAATCACACCCAACCAACCCTACCCTGCAGTCCTTACATACATATCATACCATTTAGTCCTGTTTCCACCTACAATATGGAAAGGCCATTCCAATTCTGTTCTTATTCCAAGTTTCAGTTTAAGAATCATGTGAAGTTTTTTTTCTCCAGTCCAACAAATGTTTACTACATGCCTCTCATTTCAAATAGAATATTCTATTTTAAATAGACGTTATTAATTTTTAAAAATTTATAAATTTGATGCATTAACGTTGCATCAAATCTCCAGTAACTTCAGAATGTCTGATACAATTATGTCATACATGTTTTAACAAAAGAAAAATGGATCATTTTAATTTCAATATTATTTTAGGTAATGTTAGATGTAGAGTGCACACATGATATTAAGATATAAAAAAGAATTAAGTTATGTAAGAAAATATTCTTCTGATCACATTCAAATCAAGAGCTATCTGTACTTTTTTTTTTTTACAATACCTTTATTTTATTTTATTGTGGTGATCAGGATTGAACCCAGTGCTTCACACATGTGAGGCAAGCGCTCCACCACCGAACTACAACCCCAGCCCCCTGTACTTTTTTTTTTTTTTTTTTTTTTTTTTTAAATTTTTTATTGTGGGTTGTTCAAAACATTACAAATTTCTTGACATATCATATTCCACACTTTGATTCTAGTGGGTTATGAACTCCCACCTTCACCCCATACACAGATTGCAGATTCACATCAGTTACACATCCATTGATTTACAAATTGCCATACTAGTGTCTGTTGTGCTCCGCTGCCTTTCCCATCATCCACCCTCCCCACCCCTGTACTTTTTTTTAAAAAAAATTTTATCTTAAAAATCTTTGTGTAAGGTGGAAAGAAATATGTGTGATTTTTCTTGAAGATGACAATTATAGAGAAATATCTTTTGAAATACAAACTATCTGTTTTCCGATGTTACCCCCTGTCATCATGGACTGGAATGCAGCTGGAAAGAAAAAAAAAATAGATTATCTGAAAAGATAAATGTTACCATGAAACTTGTTTATCAAGAGGTCAGACATAAAATTAGTTTGAATAACTTCTTCCAGGATTGTAATATTAAGCACAGAAGGAAACTGTCATGAAAAGAAAGGTCAAGTAGAAGTTAAAGAAAAACTAACCCAACTAACTGTTATTATACCTAAACTGAGTTTACATCAATGTTTAATGTATACAGAGTCTAAAGATTGGTGGAAAATAAATATGGGAATTAATTATCAGCAAAAACAATTTTTAAATAACTGTCAAAAATTTTAGAATTGTAATCAAAAAGTTTTTTAAATAAATAAATACAGTACACATTTCTTAGGCCAAATGACTGGGTTTTATGTTTAGTATACATTAACAAAATGTATTAAAAATTTTTTCTGAAAAAGGAAAACATCAGTTTGATTTAACCCTTTTCAGTTAAATGAACAAATCAGAATATTTTTAATTTTTTTTTTAATTTGTCTTTGTTGCTGTTGATGTATTTTTATTTGGTGCTGAGGATCAAACCCAGGGCCTCGCACGTGCAAGGCAGGTGCTCTACCACTGAGCTATAGCCCTAGCCCTAAATGAGAATATCTTAAATCTATGTATAGTGGGCAAAAGTTAAATATTGACAATTTGCTTAATATAAATTGCCCCAGAAGCAGCTAATCTGAAAAAGTAACCTAAAGCCTAAGTAATTTTCACAATCCTTACATTTTTTATAAACTATTTGAGATGTGATAACAATACCTCTTAAATACCACTAAGTTGAACTCACATAGATCTTGATTACAATACTTATGGAAACCTAGAGTATGGTTTTACAGGGAAGAAATAAATGATTAAAAAAGGAGGGGCTGAGGTTGTGGCTCAGTAGTAGAGTGCTTATGTGTGAAGCACTGGGTTCGATTCTCAGCACCACATATAAATAAATAAAGGTCCATTGACAACTAAAAGAAATATATTAAATAAATAAATAAGGAAAAAAACAACAGGTATGGTGGTGCACACCTGTGATCCCAGTGACTCAGGAGGCTGATGCAGTAAGATCTAAGTTAGAGACCAGCCACAGCATCTTAGTGAGATCCTCATCAATTTAGTGAGACCTTGTCTCAAAATAAAAAATAAAAAGGATTGGGGATATAGCTCTGTGGTAAAGTACCCCTGAATTCAATCCTCAATATTAAAAGAAAAAAAAAACAAAAACAGGCAAAGTGGTGTATGCCTATAATCCCAGCTACTCTGGAGACCAAAGCAGGAGGATCTCAAGTTTGAGGCTAGCCTGGGTAACTTAGTGAGACCTTGTCCCAACAGAAAAAAATGAAAATAGCTGGGGATGTGGCTCTGTGATAAGAGTGCCTCTGGGCTCAATTCTCAGTACTGTAAAAAAGAAAGAAAAAAATCTGGTCTGGGGATGTAGCTCAGTGATATAGGACTTGCCTAGCAGGCATAAGACCCTGATCCGTAGCTTTGTCAAAAAAAGAAAGAGAAGGAAAACAACCAACCAAAACACAGTTAATATTGATTCAGCCTAGCAAAACTAAAAATTAAGAAAAAAAGAAAAGGGGGAGGAGACACCTGAGAAGTAGCATTAAAAGAAAAAAGAATATTTTTGCTGAGCACATGTATATAATAAATAAATACATTCGTCTTACCTCCCATGTTTTCCAATCCATTTATCACAGTCTCCTTGATCTGTAAATTAAAATAGTAGTTTTAGTATTCTTTTAAAAAATTATTTTGTGATAATGGGGATAAGCCCTTTTTATTTTGAGATGGTCTTGCTAAGTCGCTGAGGCTGGCCTTGATTGCAGTTCTCCTGCCTCAACCTCCTAAGTAGCTGAGATAAATTATAAGTACCCGCCACTATACCCAGCTATACGTCCTCTTCTCAAAATATACACACACACACTCATAACTGCCAATCATTTGTGGGTTTCAAGAACATCAAGAGAACAAGGTCAGGATCTCTGAATCCCAAATTAAAAATTTCTGATTTTCAGCCAACAACTAAGAAAGACATCAGAGTATCCATGGAGAGTAGGTGAGGACACTAGGATGTGCTTATATGACTTTCTTGGAAAGGAGTCTCCAATACATGGTAGAATTCCATAAATATTTTTGAATATTACTAATTTATATTTTGGGAAAACTATTGATTTTGTAATATAATCCACAGAAAGTGAAACAGTAAATTTTATATAAAGTTAATAATAAGAGGGTTTCTTCACAGTTAGGAGTTTACAATCATCAGCAAGGTAAAGATATTTAGTACACATTTCTTTTGTAGGAATTTTTTATAATGAAACAAACATGTTTGAGGTTAGGTGCAGTGGTGCATGCCATAATCCCAGCTTTTGGTATGCAAGATAAAGGAAAAAATGTTTGCTATAATATAATTTAAATAATACAAAAGTATATCAAGTAGCAGGAAGAATTATAATGATAAAAAATAGAAGTACTACCTTTAGCTTTCCTTCTTTAAACCACTGACTCAGTTGAAGAATGCCAGGCTCAAATTTATCCTTATAATTTAACACCAGAAATCTTTCCCTGTAGGGGAGAAGAAAAGGATAATGATCAGAGAACAAGACAGGAGTGAGAGTTCAAGATGAAACCATTCCAGAACTCTAGTAAATCTGTTAATCCTTAAAATATTAGAATTAATCACACTGAGTTTGGTCAGACATAATTTTAGGTGTATTTACAAATGTAAGTATACTAAACTTCTACTGTTTGTGTCTGCTCAGCATCTACAACTCCATTTAGCAACAGTTCTGTGATTTTTTTCTTTGTAGATATCTTCCTTTCCCCATTCTCTCTTGACTTAACCCAGCTCAGTCAAATCCAGTAAGTATGAGTTTTCAAGGAGCTAATTAACCAAAACCTAAATATTAAACTAGCTTAAAAATAGAGAGCATTAATTTCAAGGATATATAAAGAATTCAAAAAACTCCAAAAAAAAAAAAAAAAACCCAAATAACCCAATCAATAAATGGGCTAACGAACTGAACAGACACTTCACAGAAGAAGAAATACAATCAATTGACAAATATATGAAAAAATGTTCAATATCTCTAACAATTAGAGAAATGAAAATCAAAACTACTCTAAGATTTCATCTCACTCCAGTCAGAATGGCAATTATCAAGAATACAAGTAATAATAAATGTTGGCAATGATGTGGGGAAAAAGGCATACTCATACATTGCTGGGATTGGAAATTGGTGTAATCATTATGGAAAGCAGTATGGAGATTCCTCAGAAAACTTGGTATGGAACCACCATTTGACCTACCTATCCCACTCCTCAGTTTATACCCAAAGGACTTAAAATCAGCCTACTACGTTGATAAAGCCACATCAATGTTTATAGTGGCTCAACATACAATAGCTAAACTATGTAACCAACATAGGTGTCCTTCAACAGATGAATGGATAAAGAAAATGTGGTATACATATGTAATGGAATATTATTCAGCCTTAAAGAAGAATAAAATTATGGCATTTGCCGGTAAATGGATGTAACTGGAGAATATCATGCTAAGTGAAATAAGCCAGTCCCCCAAAACAAAGGCAGAATGTTTTCTCTGATATGCACATGCTAATTCCCAATAAAGGGTGGACTAGGTAGAGGGAGTGAAGGGAGGGGAGGGGTTTAGGTATAGGAAGGATAGTAGAATGTATTTGATATTATTATCTATGTACATATATGACTACATGACCAGTGATTCTACATCATGCACAACCAGAAGAATGAGAAATTATACTCCATTTATGTAAAAATATACATATATATATATGAATTTTATTTATTAAGGAAAAACTATATTGAATAACAATATATTTCATATACATTCCCCCTTGAATCTGAATCTGGTAATAAGGGCAAAGACAGAGGACATACCTTGTGATGTTTCTTTCCTTCTGGATTGCCTCTATCGCAGGGGGCAGTGGAGGAGGATATGGCACATCTTTATTGTACTGAGAAATTTGACCACACAGGATGATGTGGCTGTTCTGATTCATCTGCACAGAAAAATTTTTGATGGTTACCTCCTTAGACACCTTTCCTATTTATTGATTTTACATTTGCCTAAATGAAAACCTGCTTGACCACTATATTTAATCTTCTACTGCCAATTTAGTTTGCTTTGAAGATTTATATATTATATGTATTTAAAAGTTTTAATTAGCTAGCAACAAATTCACCCCAAAGGAATATAAAGGCAAATGAAAATTTTTTAAATTTTTTATTAGCTACACATGACATTACAATGATCTTGGCCAAATTTCTTAATCAGCAAAAGAATTATATTAGTTGTCATTGTCACTACATTTATTAGTAGCAGTATTGTATTTCTTTGCATTTAAATAATGTAACCTAAGCTGCAAATAATGGACTATGCACTGTTGATAGCTCATGTTGATACTTTACAACATTTTTAATAAAGAAAATCATAAATACCCACAATTTATGAAAACCTATTTCCTCAAAGTTAGGGGGATGACTGTGACTTGGTCAATGGCAAGTTAGAGGTCAGAACTTCACAATTTCATTTAAAAAATGCAACTGTAATTTTTCACAAAAATTAATTTAAAGTGAAAATATAATACTGCTAGGCAAGAACTGAAACAGATGAATCACAGTAAATCTATTAGCATATGAAAGGAGATATCAGCAAGCTCTCATATCACTTAAATAAGGATCATCACATTTGTAACAGTAAACTCTATAATTTTATGAAGTTTTTTTCCCCCTCAGTATCACATAAAAAAAATCACAACAAATAAAATGCAGTATTCAACTTTATAACATAAATTGGCAAACAACCTGACTTATCACTGTATCGCTGATGTCACCACCAACATTATCAAAGTAAACGTCTACTCCAGCTGGGCATGATTCTCGGAGTTGTTCTGCCACATTCCCTTTTTTATAATTAATTGCAGCATCAAAGCCCAGTTCTGAGGTCAAAATGAGGCATTTCTCTTGTGTTCCACAAATTCCCACCACTCTGGAACAGCCCAGCAAATGGCCAATCTAGGAGGAATATTTTGAAAATTAAATGGTTTTATATTGCCATGTTTGTTGTAAAAAGGTGAAAGTATACAAGATATTTTAAGTTTATGGGAGAGTTCATCACAATTGAGGTTAGATTACACTGCTTTTAACAAAAAGAAACTAATAGAACTGAGGGCAGAAAATGTCATCCTTTAAAATAAATAAATTGAATAAAATCAATCTCAGTTTAAAATTCACAGTTTAAATCTGATTTTATAAATGGAATACTCAGACTTAAAACATCACTACCTTACAATTCAATATTTTTCAGGACTGTGAGGAACTTAAAAATCACACCTAAAATAAAATATTTTGTCTTAATGGTTTCCTATAAAACAATGAACTTAACAGAATTCTATCAAAAGATTTACTTTATTTCTGGAACTCAATATATGTTTTCTTACCTGAGGGTTTTTAAAAATATCAGTTCTTTTTTTTTGGTACCAATGATTGAACCTAGGGCCTATTATATGATTTTTTAGCATGAGCTCTGCCACTGAGCTACACCCTCAGCCCCTCATTTATCTTTAGTTTGTGAAATTCCAGGGGGGTCTCTATGATTCTTATCCTTGCATGGATGACAGCAATCCTCTAGCATTTACCATATCCATTCTTGGTTAATAAAGATTGAGACAAAAACCTACAATATACATCATATTGTTGTTAAGAGAGTTTAATGGGTGATAACATCATTTCTACCAGAAATGTGTGAAATAATCATTTAAATTTGTTCACATTCATATTCTAAATTATATACATATATCCAGAAGTTCGATTATGACAACTTTTTTTAAAAAGTTAAATAATTCTCAGGACGTTTACCTGCCCAGCCAAGGATCCACAGGCACCTGCTGCTCCACTGACAACCATTGTCTGATTAGATCCAGCAGTTACATGACCTTTTTCCTGTACTCCAATTAAGGAAGTCAAGCCAGGCATACCTATAGCTCCAAGAAAATATGAAAGGTGTCCATCTACAAGCTGTGGGTCTACCTAAAATAAAGTATATAGCATTTTAACATATTATTAGAAATTCCTGTTTTAAGACAAAGTAGAGATTGTTATGTAATAAATTGTGTGCCCCCTGCCTATGTAACTATATCAAAGATAAGGCCTTTAAGATGCTATGTAAGGTTAAATGAGATTACAAAACTGGGACTCTAAGCCAGACGTGGTGGAGCATGCCTATAATCCCTAAGGTTTAGGAGGCTGCTATAGGAGAATCTGGAGTTCAAAGCCCACCTCAGCAGAAGCACAGAAGCTCCATTAGACTCTGTCTCTAAATAAAATACAAAATAGGGCTGGGGATGTGGCTTAGTGGTCCAGTACCCCTGAGTTCAATCCCCAGTACCCACCCTCAAAAAAAAGAATGGGACTCTAATCCAATAGGATCTGTGCCCTTAGAATAAATGTAAGAAATACAACCACTGCCTACCCCAGACAAAGACCACTAGAGGACACAGTAAGAAGTTATCTACCTGCAAGCCAGGAAGAGAGACCTTACCAGAAATGAAAATTTCCAGAAACTTGATCTTGGATTTCTAGTCTCCAGAATAGAACATTAATCTCTGTTGTTTAAAGCCACCAACCTATAGTATTTTATTGTGGCAGTCCAAGCAAACTAATAATTTCAGTATGGTTTCTGAATTTAGCCAGACCCTGCCTCAAACTATTCTTCAGTCTTGCTAAAATTCTATATATTTGTAAAGAGTTGGGAAAAAAACCAAAATTCTCTATAAAAATTTTTTTAAAAAAACCCTTTTTTGACCAATCAAAGCCAACCCAAGCAACAAAGCAAGACACCCACTTCAACAACAACAAAAATAAACCTCAAACTCCAACTATTTTTTTCTTTCCTTTTTTTTTTTTTTTTTTGTGTGTGTGTATGTGCGTGTGTGTATGGTACTGGGATTGAACCCAGGAATATTCTGCCACCAAGCTACACTCTCAGTTCTTCTTATTGAGACAGGGTCTTCCTAAATTTCACAGGTGCTAGGATTACAGGCATATGCCATGGTGCTTGGCTATAATAATTTTCACTACTGATGGTTAATATGTACCATAAAAATGTAAGGAAGGGGACTGGGGTGCAGCTTAGTGATAGAGCACAAGTGCAAGTCCCTGAGTTTAATCCCTAGCACCAAAAACCCAAAAAAGGGAGATACGATACAATTTATTTTAGTTTAATTACAGAATAAATTGAGCCTATTTCAATTTGGTGTTTTATGTTTATATGCTGACTAGGTGCTACCAATAATTACATTGCTCTTTTTCTGTCTATATTCTTATCTATAAAATTAGGGGGAATTGAAACAATATACAGAAGGACTCTCTACAATACAGGTTTATGACAATTTTTAAATATATATGTATTTTAGTTATACATGGACATGATACCTTTATTTATTTATTTGTTTATTTATTTTTATGTGGTGCTGAGGATCAAACTCAATGCCTCACATGTGCTAGGCAAGTGCTCTACCACTGCACTACAACCCCAGCCTTTATGATAATTTTTAAGGAATGGATAATTTTGGTAAAAATTTAACAAACCACCAATAACCTTAGCTTATTTGTAGTTCAATTATGATGATTAAAATGTGCTAGGCAATACCATGCCTATAATGCTGGCTCTTTGGGAGGGTGAAGCAGGCCGATCACAAGTTCAAGGCCAGCCTGGGCAATTTAGCCAGACCCTGCCTCAAAAGAAAAAAGAAAAAAGGGCTGAGGATGCTCAGTGGGAGGGTACCTGCCTAGCATGCGTAATGCCCTGGGTTCAACCCCCAGGAATGAGAGAGATGAGGCCTGCAATACATAGGAATATCTATAGTACACAGAAATAGTTCATGTATGCAATAGTGATTTACTGATAAAGCCAGTATCAAAACACTGTGAGATAAATTTGTGTTCAGCAAATACCATTTTTCTTTCCCTTCTAAATTACCTTCTTCATTTCCAATACCTATTCCCAAAGCATTTGCAAGCTGCCCTCAACTGCTCAATTTCCCACTACAGCACTCTGAGAAAAAGAGTTTCTTTACACCTCACATGGAAACCTACTGACAGCATAGTTGTTGTTTTTTTTTTTTCCTCCAACACTATAGAGTTCTCACCAGCTATGCAACCTATCATTTGATTCATTTCAATTCTGACATACCTGGCATTATGTTGGATTCCAGAAGTTATAGTTTTAGTACCATAAAACTGCTCCCACTCCAGAAGCCAATTTCAGGGCCAGGTCTGCTAAACCTTTTTTTTTTTTTTTTAATGGTATTGGAGATTGAATCCAGGGGTGCTATACCTCTGAGCTACATCTTTAACTCTTTTTATTTTTAACTTTGAGACAGGGTCTCACTAAATTGCTAAGATTGGCCTAGAACTTATGATTATCCTGCCTCAGCTTCCAAAGCAGCTAGAATTATAGGCAGCACCACTGTGCTCTGCAAATTCCAAGATTTTTGAGATCATTTAGTCAGGAACTGGGGATAAAAGCCAAATATACTTATTATAGCATAAGCATACTGATAGGCTGAATATTCCTTTTTATTTCCTACTAAGAAATTTCTAGTTAGATCTATTGTATTAGAACCATTAAGATTACAAATAATTGTGTAAAGTCACTCATATAGCACTCATATCTTAGCCTCTTTTAATTTAACCTAAAATGAGATAGAAATTTATGGACAGAGAACACTGAGACTCTAAAGGAAAAATATCTCTATTACATACAGAACAAACAACTTGTAGACAACTCATAAGCTGGACAAAGAAAAATAAGGGACAGAAAAGGACCAGAAGATAAGGCTGCACTAAACAGCTCATAAATTACTTTGTAACTTTCCAATTCCCTGTAGTTTTCTGGAATGTAGCAAAATGAGAATAGAAAGGCAATAGACAAAAGAACATTAACCTAGTATGGCTAGAGGCTAACATTTGATTGCTCTGGGCGAATCACCTAACTACCTGAGATGCTGCTGTTTAGCTGAAACCTACACATCAGACCCCCTAATGAGAAAACACAATCTTACTCAGTATTTCCCAATCCTGAGGAAGTCCAGTCCCTTGGGATCATACATATTGCACATAATTAGGTACTATAATAAAAGCCTGACCTCAAGTCCTGGTAGTGCATCTCACTTTTTAGATTGCCCACACTCTGCTTTAAGAATATATATGCTCCCATTATAATAAATCTTTCACTCTGCTACTCATACCTGATAGGGCCTTAAATTATTTTCTGCAATATGGTCAAGAACCTTTTTTGGATAATGATGTCCATCACAATCCACAAACCTCAAAGTCCAAGTAGAGGTCTCTACCTCTGAAAAGACCTCCTTGTACTTCCACATGGGGACAAAATGGGTGATAGACTCACATTTATTTAGGAATAACAAGGGACTGCAATCCAGGATGTACATGCATGTGCATATCCAGGGAGGCAAAGGAAGGCAAGAGTTTTTAAAGGTAAAATGAAGAAGTGACATTAGTTGTTTTGAAACAATTATTCTTCATTACAAGGATTAATAAGGGTGGCATCAGTCCATTACCAGAACAGGAAGTTGATAGGAAAGCAAGATGGTTGTTTTGAGGGCCTATCCTTCATGGATTTCCAGCTCCATTTGTTAGGGTTTCACATAAGTGTTTCCATTTTGGTATTTTTCACACACTGGTTAAGAATTTGTAATAACAAGCCAGGTGCAGTGACCACTCCTGAAATGCCAGCTATTCAGGAGGCTGAGGCAGAAGGATCTAGACTAGTCTGGGCAACTTAGTAAGACACTGTCTCAAATTTATTTTCAATTTTTAAAAAGTGGGGGCTGGGCAATAAGGAAAGCAGTATGGAGATTCCTTGGAAAACTGGGAATGGAATGGAACCACCATTTGACCCAGCTCTCCCTCTCCTCAGTCTATACCCAAAGGACTTAAAAACAGCATACTACAGGGACACAGCCACATCGGTGTTTATAGCAGCACAATTCACAATAGCTAAACTGTGGAACCAACCTAAACGCCCTTCAGTTGATGAATGGATTAAAAATGAGGCATATATATACACAATGGAATATTACTCAACAATAAAAGAGAATAAAATAATGTATGGCATTTGCAGGTAAATGGATGCAGTTGGAGAAGATAATGCTATGTGAAGTTAGCCAATCCCAAAAAAACAAATGGCAAATGTTTTCTCCGATATAAGGTGACTGACTCATAGTGGGGTAGGGAGAGGGAATATGGGAGGAATAGACGAACTCTAGATAGGGCAGAGGGGTGGGAGGGCAGGGAAGGGGGCAGGGGGTTAGCAATGATGGTGGAATGTGATGGACATCATTATCCAAAGTACATCTATGAAGACATGAATTGGTGTGAACATACTTTATATACAAACAGAGATATGAAAAATTGTGTATATGTGTAATAAGAATTGTGGGGCTGGGGTTGTGGCTCAGCGGTAGAGTGCTTGCCTAGCACATGCGAGGCCCTGGGTTCGATCCTCAGCACCACATAAAAATAAATAAACAAAATAAAGATATTGTGTAGAACTAAAAATAAATACTAAAAAAAGAATTTTGATGCATTCCACTGTCATGTATTTAAAAAATAAAAGCAGTTAAAAAAAAAAAGTGGGGCTGGGGATGTAGATCAGTGGTAGAGCACTTGTCTAATATCCACAAGGCCCTAGGTTCAATCCCCAGTCAGTGGGAAAAAAGAAAAAAGAAAAAAATATTTGTAATAATAAAAAATATTTGAATATTATAAAGCTTCTTACAAAACTTTTATCATATTATCATAATGTTCACTTATGATAACTATTACTTTCATTTTGCCCATGAGGAGACTGAAATATAAAGACATAAAGTTCCTTGATAACGGATAAATTGTGCTGAATTACATGAAGCTACATTTTTGTAGTCAAAACAAATATTGATAATCTCACAAGTTTTAGCCTAAAAATGAACTGAAATCAAGATTTCTTTTTTTTTTTTTAAAGAGAGAGAGAGTGTAGTGTGTGTGTGTGTGTGTGTGTGTGAGAGAGAGAGAGAGAATTTTTAATATTTATTTTTTAGTTATCGGCGGACACAACATCTTCGTTTGTATGTGGTGCTGAGGATCGAACCCGGGCCGCACGCATGCCAGGCGAGCGCGCTACCGCCTGAGCCATATCCCCAGCCCCTGAAATCAAGATTTCTGATGTGAAATGGAATATCAATCGGGCTGGGGATGTGGCTCAAGCAGTGGCACGCTCGCCTGGCATGCGTGCGGCCCGGGTTCGATCCTCAGCACCACATACAAACGAAGATGTTGTGTCCGCCAAAAACTAAAAAATAAATATTAAAAATTCTCTCTCTACCGCTCTATCTCTCTCGCTCTCTCTTTTAAAAAAAAAAATGGAATATCAATCACAAAGCAAGTGTGTTTCATAGGTGGCTATTTCTCAGGAAACTTCAAAGTATATAACTATAGGAGGAATTTTAATTCTTAATATAAAATATTTTTGATGCTTATAGCTCAGGTTTTATATTATATATATAATTTGAGAAATAAATATGGAAAATTACAACATTCTCTGGTAATCTACGAATTGTCACATACAGTCCCAGCCAACAGTGGAAAAGGAATAAAAGCTTTCCACAACTGGCAGTAAGCTAAAAGAAAAAAAATGTATGCTTTTATTTTTTACCTGATAACAAATGAACTGAATAACAAATGTAGAAAATGAGCATTATTGGGAGGGAGGGGGATCAGATATTTTTATACTATACATCACCTTTTCAAGGCTATTTCCATCCAGAATAGCCTTGGTTTGCCAGGGCCAATAGAAAGAAGTCACAAAGTCACCTTTAGTCAAATTTGTGTGCTTGCTTAATTCTATAATTCCAACACCTCCACCATCCACCACCTGAGACAGCTGCCAAGGTGCTATATAATCAGTACCAGTGTCTTCATTCATCCTACAACGCTGAAAAAAAGAAGGCATTAATTAAGATAATTCTGTTAAATAATATTGAGCCAGAGTTTACTAATTTACCCAATGACTAAAGGTATGTGATAAGTAATATTTAATAAAGTGTTAGTCAAATAAATAAAAATAATATGTATTAATTTTCCCTTCATTTTGGTTATTTTTTATTTTAAAAAAAATGCACTTCTTCTTCAATACACATAAGAGTGTAATTAAAAAGGCTTTTAAAACTAGATCATAATAGTCAAAACAGCATGGCACTTGCATATAAAAGACAGGTACACTGACAAATGGAACAGAATACAGAGTCCAGAAAGAAATCATGCATTATGAATACACGACTAGTGTAACTCCACATCATGTACAATCACAAGAATGAGAAGTTACACTCCTTGTATGAATAATCTGTCAAAATACATTCTATTGTCATATACAACTAAAAAGAACAAATAATTTTTTTTTAAATCCATGCATTTACAATTGATTTGGGGAGGGGGGTACTGGGAATTGAACGCAAGGGCACTTTACCACTGAGCTATATCCCAAGTCCCTTTTATTTTTTAATTTGAGACAGGATTTCACTAAGTTACTGAGGCTGGCCTCAAACTTGTGATTCTCCTGTCTCAGCCTCCTGAGTCACTGGGATTATAGGCATGTGCTACCATGCCTGGTTATAATTGATTTTTGACAAAAATGCCAACAATACACAATGGGAAAAATAATACTTCAATAAATGATATGGGAGAAAATGAAAAATCCACATGCAGAAGAATGAAATTAGACTTACCCTATATACAAAAATCAATTAAAAATGAATTTAAAAATTAAGCGTAAGATGTGAAATAAGCCAAGCATGATGGCACATACCTGTAATCTCAGCTACTTGGAGGCTGAGGCCAGAGGATACCCAAGTTTGAGGCCAGCCTCTGCTGGGAGCCATTAGCCAAGTAGGTATGACAATTTCCTTGCCAGCGTACCCCCATGTTGCAGTGACATTGAATGTACGTGACCTTGCTCAAGGACCAAGGCAGATTAGGGTGTTCCCGGTTTTAAGGTTTTAAGATAATCGTGTTTAGGGCGTTCCCAGTTTAGGTTCCAGGTTTAAGGTTTAAGATTATTCCTGCTGGGAATAGGGCGTATCCTGCTGCCTGAGTTCCCCTTGAGTTCTCACGGGATTCAGACAGTATATTTTGGAGATAGAAGCCCAGTGGAGGTGGATTTGGGAGAGAACGCGGATTTGGGAAGAGAACGTGGATTTCCCCAGAACGTGATTGTAGACGGCTGGTGTGAGTTCGGGAATAAAGAGTTGCTGTTTGAATCTACAAGCTGTGTGGTGGCTCGTGATTGTGTGCCCAGCCAGACTGCGGCATTTGTGCCCAGCCAGACTGTGGCATTTGGCGGCCCGTGCGGGGAACTTCTGAAGCTTAAAGGTAAGTGAAATTTCTCACCCCTGAAGAAGAGCGAAAGAATGGGTGACCAATTCAAAAAACAATGTGTTCTTGTTTTGACTTATTTTGTTTTTATTTCAAGTTGCCTGTTCCTAGAACTTTCTCAGGCAAACTGGGGAAAATGGTTGACTCAAGGTTTGAAGTTGTTCGCCTCCGAGCAAGAGAAATTGTTAGAGGAAGGAGGCACCCCAGTAAGACCAAGAACAATTAGGGCATATGTTGATACAATACAAAAATGTAGCCCTTGGCTTTTTAAAGACGAGTTATTAAGTATATCAATGGGACCATCATGGTATCCTGTAGAAGGATTTTTCTTCAAGAAAGAGATGGCTAGTTCTGTTTACTACATTTGTCTAAGATCTTGGTTTTTACAGACATCTGATTAATTTACAAAGCTAAAGTGTTAAAATATCAACCACTAAATATGAAATCAAGTACTCTTTACTTATTAAGTTCCATAAGGTAATATATTTAAACATTATGTGTGTTTTCATAAATTGGTAAATGGAAAAATGTTTAATATTGCTTTGTGTCTGTGTCTTTGCTAAAACAAGGTTACTAAGTGTTAAGATTCTATCATGTGTAATTTATATACAAAGAGTAGAAAAATTTTCAGTTGGGTTTCAATTATAGTATTATAGTATCATAAAAACATGAAAGTCTTTCATCTTATTAAAGTGGAGTAATTTTCTAAATCAGAATTTTTATAAGAGTTGTTTCAGAATGTAAATTTATAAAAAGGGTTAACAGTTAAAAAAGATATAAAAAGATTCAAGATGTGGGAATATATTTTAATATGGAAGGTTAAAAGAAAAAGAAATGTTTCTAGATAAGATAATCTCTGTGTGGTAAAGTAAAAAGTTGTAAAATGCCACTTAAAAAGATTTTGAGGAAACTAGACTTACTTTAAAAGCTTGAGAAAGGAAGAAAGAAGAAAAAGATATTTGTACATGGCAGATTGAGACAAAGCTTCTCAATGGAGTTAAAAAAAAAAAGCCTTTGGTTGAAGGGCAGCCATGTAAACTAACATTGAAGTGATTTAAACAGAATCTAAGCCTCGTTTCAAAGAGTGAAGTTGTAGGTGGTGAAAAAGTACATTTAAAAGTACAGTATAGATGATAATTAAAAGGCTTTAAAAGGTTCAATTGAAGGTGGTTGAGATACCTTCATGGCGGAAAAAAGATTGCTTTATTGCATCATTCGAAGCCTAGTTAATCTTAAAGGCATTACTTAAAAAAAAATGGGAAGATAATAGGATAAAAGATATTTAGATAAAGAAGATTAAAAATTTAAAGTGAAAAACTTTAAAGACAGAAGTATAGAAAGTTAAAAAGAATAAAGATAAAGAAGATGTAGAAAGATAAAAAATGTAGGAAGACAAGAATTTTAAACCCACAAAATAGGAAGAAAAAAAAAAAAAAAAAACTAGGAGGAAAATAAGCAACTAAGGGTAAAAATACAAACCTTAGGGAAAAAAAAACAACTAGAAGATAGAAATAAGATAGAAAATGGTTGAAAATGTCAAGTAAGGTATTACACAGATAGAAAATGCAAAAAGCTAAGACAACTATTAGATACAGACATATACTTATTAAAGCAAAAAGAGGGAATTGTAAAGGGGTATATATCCCCCAAAGATAAACTTAAAATAACCCTTTTTACACTAAACTTTTTAAATTTGGATTCATCAGGGCTTAGTGCTGCAGAAAGACATATGTATCCAAAAAATGTACATAAGCCTAAGGTACTTTGGAAAGATATTCTAGCAGGACAAGGGAAAGGTCCTGACCCAGTGATTGTCTGGAGTCGGGGTTTTGTTTGTGTGTTTCCACAGGGAGAACAGCAGCCGATTTGGATTCCAGAGAGATTAACTAAAACAATTTCTACAGATCGAAAAGAAGATGATTTGACTCAAATCCATAACAGCTGATATCCAGAACTCCAGCTTGGCCATTCTTACATCTGCGACAGTGATTAACCAGTGATGTAATTTTTATTTCCTTGCCAGTGCACCCCATGTTAATTGTGGTAGTGCTGACATATCTTTGCTGATGGTGTCACCAGTGATGCAATTTTTCCCAAGGAGCCGTCAATTGGCTTGGTGTCGTGGCATTTCTGTATCCTCCTCCCTTCTGCTAGTGATGGTCTAAAATTTGGGGGCCAATGGCTTATGCTGGACCGGTAGTCAGTGACGGGTATGATCCAATTGCAGTGGTATCAACCTAAGACAGGAGGCTGACGCCTAAAGGTCAGTTTTCCGATGACGGGTAAGAACCATATGTTGAATTGGACAACCTACCAGGCACGGTCCATAAGCCACATTAACCTCACTCCCCCACTGGCACCAAGGCCAAATTTGGGGGCCAACAGAGGTGAGGCAAAGAACCTCACCCCCCCACTGGTGCATAGACCTATCCACAAGTATGGCTGTATGCTGGACCGGTAGTCAGTGACGGGTATGATTCAATTGCAGTGGTATCAACCTAAGACAGGAGGCTGACGCCTAAAGGTCAGTTTTCCGATGACGGGTAAGAACCATATGTTGAATTGGACAACCTACCAGGCACGGTCCTTAAGCCACATTGCTTGTTGTTTAATTAATCAGAAGGGGGGAGATGCTGGGAGCCATTAGCCAAGTAGGTATGACAATTTCCTTGCCAGCGTACCCCCATGTTGCAGTGACATTGAATGTACGTGACCTTGCTCAAGGACCAAGGCAGATTAGGGTGTTCCCGGTTTTAAGGTTTTAAGATAATCGTGTTTAGGGCGTTCCCAGTTTAGGTTCCAGGTTTAAGGTTTAAGATTATTCCTGCTGGGAATAGGGCGTATCCTGCTGCCTGAGTTCCCCTTGAGTTCTCACGGGATTCAGACAGTATATTTTGGAGATAGAAGCCCAGTGGAGGTGGATTTGGGAGAGAACGCGGATTTGGGAAGAGAACGTGGATTTCCCCAGAACGTGATTGTAGACGGCTGGTGTGAGTTCGGGAATAAAGAGTTGCTGTTTGAATCTACAAGCTGTGTGGTGGCTCGTGATTGTGTGCCCAGCCAGACTGCGGCATTTGTGCCCAGCCAGACTGTGGCAAGCCTCAGCAACTGAGTGACACCTGTCTCAAAATAAAAAAGCTGGGGGAGGGGCTGGGGTTGTGGCTCAGCAGTAGAACACTCACCTAGCACGTGTAAGACACTGGGTTTGATCCTCAGCACCACATAATAAATAAATAAAATTAGATTATGGTATTAATTGTGAAACTCTAAAACACTAAAAATCATTGACAAATGAAACTGAATAACAAATGTAGAAAATGAGCATTATTGGGAGGTGTACACTTTTAATACTTTAAGTGTGATATGTCAATTGTATTTCAATAAAACTTTAAAAAAATAAGGAAATTTAAGTAGTAGTACATGCATTGTGGTAGCAAAAGTAATACAAAATACTGTTTTGATTCTTTCAATGGACTATGGCATTTTAGATACACTTAAATGATTTTTTTAAACTGTTTACTTTGTATGGAAGCAAACTAGCAACATATGTGTAACATTGTCCCC